TCCAGTAGTCATGTATCGCATGCCGTATTGTAGGGGTTGGCATGTACAGCGTTTCATAAAATTTTTGGGGGGGGTAGGACCCGGGGGGGGGGGGGCGTACTCATTTGTTGCTTGCCGTAGTCATTTGACCATTGGACCACGCGTCCCTTTCGAGACGGAGCACCGTTCCTACACCTACTAGAGACACCACCAACATTTGGGAGCTCTTTACGTTTCTGCCACAAACTCCATAAAAATTTCTTGCACATCTTATCCCCGTCCTCTAGGGCCTCTTGTGCCCACCATCTATCCCCAATTATCGCGATCGTTTTTTCGCTGTTGTCTAATTTACCAAACTTGTCCATGTCACACCCTCTCTGTCTCATTTCCTCCTCGAGATCCTCTCTTTCCTTCCTGTACAACTCACACTCCCCAACTATGTGGGGTCTACTCTCCTCCGATTTGCCACATGGACATGTGTGTCTATCCTCCTCTTCCTCTCTCCTACGGCTGGTATACCTCTTCCTCCGTTCTGGCAAGTCCAGATCGCCTACTCGAAATTGCAATTTCAGCTTTTTCGCATAGTCCATGGGGCCGTCCAAGTACTTCTTCATCCCTATCCCTTCTTTCAACTTCCCGTATATCTCCAAGTGGTCTTCGCTTCGTACCTTCTTGCGAAGGGTTGTCTCCTCCCTACTCTCTAGCATCTCCTTGACTTTCGTCTTGAACCCCCCCGAACCCTTCCGTGTCCAACGTCTCCTCCTCGTCTCCTATCTCCTTCCAAACCTTCTCTACCACCTTGTCCCATCTGATTCCCTTCTTCCCTGGAGTCGCTTTTCCCCAAGCTGCCTCGTCAACCATGGCTGGTAGTCTATCGTCCGACATTCTACTTACCTTGTACTGCCACTTCAACTTCTGCATGTCTCTCTTTGTTTTAAGAGAGTACATTCCCAATTCTGCTCTCAATACAGTGTTGCTCGTTGTGCTTGAACATCCTAGTATTTTCTTGGCCGCTGCCATCTGCACCGTTTCCAGCTGCTTGACGGCCTTTTCGTTACCTTCCCATATCTCTCCTGCATACTCTAGCTTAGGTACAATCACCTTCAAGAGAATACACCTCTTAATCCTAGTGTCTAGGTGTGGGTCCGTAAGGATCTCATCCATCTTGCCTATCTGAGCTTTACCCTTCCCAATCAACTTCGCTATGTGTGCGTCCCATGAGCACTCCTTCGAAATCTCTACTCCCAGGTACGTATACTTGTCTACTACCGGTAGTTCTTCCTCCCCCCATTTCCATTTGAATTCTACGGGATTTTTCTTATCTTCGTTACAGACCACTACTGCGCATTTTCCTACGTTCGCCGACAGTCTCCATTTTCGGGTGTATCCTACCGCCGCATCTATTTGTTCTTGCAACCCTTCTGGTGTTTCGGATACCCCCACGAAATCATCTGCAAACATCAGTCCGGACACACTCTTTCCCTCTACTTGGACTCCCTGTCTTACTGCTTCAACCGCCCTTATCAAATCGTTGATGTAAATCTTAAAAAGAGTGGGTGACATCGTACAGCCCTGTGCGACTCCTTGGAGTATATCCACGTACTTCGAAATTTCCCCATCCAACATCACCGCACTTCTTGTGCATTCTGTCATCTTTTTCAACATCCTCCACATTTTCCCCCGGATGCCGATGTCCCACATCTTTTTCCACAATCCATTGCGCCATACGGTGTCGTAGGCTTTTTGTATATCGAGGAAGAAACAGTATGTCGTACGCCCGGCGTCTTTCCTACCTTGGATGATTTTACTCAACGTATATACATGGTCTACACAACTACGATCTGGTCTAAATCCAGCTTGTCCTTCGCTGATCTTTTGTTTCCCCTCCAACATGTCTCCCATTCTATTGTCTATCATCTTGCCAAACAGTTTCCCCACTGTGCTCAACAGGGTTATCCCTCTATAATTCCCCGGCTCAGCTTTATCCCCCTTTTTGAACAGGTTCACGACTACTCCTTCTCTCCATCTCTTCGGCGCGTACTCGTGTTTCCATATCCAGTTGAATATCCGGACCAACATGTTAATCATCCCCTCCCCCCCCTGTTTCAAAAGCTCGTTCACAATTCCATCAGCCCCTGCCGCTTTTCTATTCTTGAGTTTCGCTACGCAGTCCTCTACCTCTTCTGGGGGGGGGGGGGATACGGCACCGACCACTACGGTACACTACACAACCAAACACAAAAACACGAGACGCATACACAAGGCCCCCCCCCCGAAGGGGGAACCGGTTCCCCGAGAGTGATGGCGAAACCCGAAACAAAAGGGGGTTTAACTTCTGCGATGGCTCGTCGTCCGGGTGTTGTCGGGGGGTGCACCCTTCCCTAAAGGCACAATTCTAAAGTTCTCAGGGAAGAAAGAAGGAAAAAATAAATCATGGGCACCGTCCACAGCTTTCTCACGAAGCACGACAACAACAATCGGCACGACTCGTACCTGCTCATGAAACGCGAAAAGGACAAAATAAGGGCACGATTCAAAGCGCTTCTCACGACATGACAAATAAACACCAACAATTGGCACGATTTCTCAATCTATCAAGAGAAGAAAAGAAGACACTACTATGTATGCCACGGCTACTAACTTTCTTACGACAAAAAAATAAAACACCAAGGAAAATCTCACCGGTCTCCTGCGCTGAGGTCCCCCCCGGGAAGAGGGTGCCAAGGTGCCACCCTGCCTGCCCCGGTGCGGCAAAGTTCTGCATCGCCAGGTTCGTGAGTGCCCTCGAGGCTGAAGCGGCGGCGCCAAGGCCGTGGCAGAAAGTACATAACAGCGACAAGGATTAGAACAAAATGGAAGGTTATTGAGAAAATCGTGCACAGTCGGTAGATTGTTGCTGAGCGGAGATAGTCCCGCAGGTTTCGACTTCGTCGTACGGCCGGGGCGTGCCATTGGCAGGCAGTTGGCTTGTCCTCTCCTTACATGTGGCGACAACGAGGCCGTAACGACCAACCACAAACCAACAACTTAGCGCATAAGACCAACCCTGCAACCAAAATATACACACCACCTGCCAATACAACAGCAACAGCAGCAGCAGCAGCAGCAATAACTACAACAACCACTGATCCCCCGATAAATAGTTCACCTTCCTTCTTGCCGGGGTGCTTCTCTAGCTCCTTTAGGCACTGCTGGATGAAGAACGTCAGGTAGATCAGAGTCCTGTCAGCGGAACCCTCGATCTGGTAGTTCCGGAAGAGCACGTTGGCGCGGAAGTAGTACAAGGCCTCCTCCACTATGTCTTCTCGCCCTAGGATAATAATTTTCGAAGTGTGGGGGGGGGTGGGGGGGGGGGGGTCGGGACTCCCGCTCGTGCTCGTCAATGCGTGCGAAGCCGTGCTTGATAAGAGTACACATCATGCCGTCTTTCACACGCACACGCCGTTTTTAACCGTGAAAAGCGGGAGAGAGCAAGTCAAAACCGGGACGGGATATCATAACCGGGACGTGATATGATTTGTCCAGGACGGAGCACGCGATTGGGGGCTCCACAGACAGGGCCCGCGTAGGTAGAATCATCCGTGAAAGAAGCGCTGCGGCGAAGCTGCACGAATGGTGGGCTGCACCTCCCCCCCCAAAAGAAACCGTGTGGGTGGATACAGCGGTAGCGAGGAGGTCACGTCCGGTTGCAGGGGAGAGTAATTCGCGCTACGCTCTGGTGCGAAAATCTCAAGTGCTTTCTAGAATTACAGTCGATGGCACTGCTGCTGCGTTTACCGTAAGTTGTGTAAGATATCACACCCCCTGGACCGATTTTCACATCTCAGTTCCTCGGCAGGAAAAGCAGCGACGGTGCCGAAAATGGCGGCGTTACAAACCCTTCGTTGAGACCTTTCCGAAAACGCACCATGTGGTTTCGACATCTTCTTCGTCGTGGAGTATTTGAGCTTCGAAAATGGGTCCAGGGGGTGTGGTATCTTGCGTATGAAACCTACGGTAGTTGTTTCATGTACCGTTTCGGCCAAACGGCGTGAGACGGGGGCACGCGCCGCCGGTACCACCGCCCACCACGTCCTCCGCGTTAGGCTGAGCGTGAAACGCACGGATGACCACCGGACTACAACCCTGACTGGTAGTCGTGGCTTAACAGCTAGACGGACTCCGGCCGGCAGTAGCTTTTCGTTGAGAAGCACGTATGACGGCTGGACCGCCAGTCAACGGGCTGAACGGTAGTTGTGCAGTGGCCTTCGTGCTTCTCAACAAAATTGTCAGTACTTCCAAAACACTATCCTTGGCTGCCACGCCCACCGCAAAAAAAAACAAACAAAAAGCTTGCCTGGTTGCTCGGGAAATCGTGAAAATACAGGTAGGTAGCCCTCGCCGACGCTATGGATTCATTGCTAATCTATCTTAGACTCTAAAGATGGAGATGGATTCGTTGGGTCATATCGGGAAAAACAAACAAAAAAGCTTGCCTGGTTGTGCCAGCGGGGCCGGTCCTCGTACGGTGGTACTCAGCGGCAGAATCGCGCACCCGCAGCAGACTTGCGCGTTCTCGTCGGTTTGCTTGGAGTGATACGCCGGCTTGTGAGTGGTTGTTGGTTTGTTTGGTGGGAGAGCAGGTCCGAGCAAGGACAGCACAGCAAGGAAGGGGAGACATGGGATTAGTAAACGGATGTGGAAGTTGATTATTTACAGCAGTAGGAGTGGTAGTTTCGTTCATGATTGGTTTGTGTGACGGAGAACAGATTCGACCAAGAATAGCGCTCAAGGGGAGACGGGGGAATAGAGGACGTAAAACTAACTATGCATGAGAAATTTTAAGAAGGTTTCGCTTGACGTAGAATTTCTTAACACCAGACATGGATATTTCACAAATACGGCTGTGTGCAGGTGTTTCCACCACGCATGTACTTAAAGGTCCTTTAAACAGACTCGAGTAGCTACAGATAGAGGCCAACCGGTCGGGTGACAGAGCGTATGCATACCCAACAGTGCGGTCACGGGAGCCGAAAGACGAGCTGCTGTTGCCACTACTTGCTGACGCATGGACCGATCCCCCTGAAGAACCAGAACCCACGCTCCGAGTGGCGAAGTGGCTACCTACCCGATTTCACCCAAAGGACGAACCACACGCTGGTCATTATCCTTGCGTGTGATGCGCCAAACCATCCGGGGGGGGGGGGGGGGGGTATACTGCAGTGCATGGAAGCAGGCGCTGAAGAACATATATGGCAAAACACGTGCCGACCAGTGCTGATTTCATCGCAAGGTAAGGCATGAGTGAGATAGGCTCCTCCAGCACTACCGTATGGCATTCTTGGCAGTGCATCAGCTACTACGGGCGGATGTGCCAAACACACGGCGTGGACACCCCCGCCGGGAGTCGGGACACAAGGGGCTGCGCTGGCTACTACGGTACCCGCTGTCTCCCCTCATCCGGAACTCAGCAGACAATGAGAGGAACGCTTCCACGAAGAAGCACCTCTCTCACCCCAGAGCACACGAGCAAAGCAAGCATCGAGGTAGAGCGCTCGGCAGGCAGAGACCAGCAAGGACGGGGGCTACCGGCGGGCGGAGGGATGGGTTGCCGGTTGCCCTAACGACACCAGTGTGCGCAAGAAAGCGAAAATTCCGCCGCATTTCTGTCTGCATAAGACATCGACGAGACTCGTCACTACTATTCTTATGGGGCTCACCATAGTTGATACACAGACGCAAACCGAGCTACTCCACACAGCTGAGGAAGAAGAAGAGAGAGATAGAGAGAGAGGTTGACAATGGGGCGGACAATGCAACCGGGGAGGGACGGCGAGACAACGGGGGGACGCGGCTATAGAAATGGCACACCCCTTGTTTCTCAATATAGATTCTGCGAGCCCCCCATTACTTTGCTTGTTGACTTGTTTGCCCACACACAGCCTCGTATCTTACGTCCATGACGAGCGTGCGCGTCGCCCGGGTACTCCCTCAGGCGCTACAGGATATCAGATCGCACACGAGCGCATAGAGAAGACCCGTTGCGAACGGGTGTAGCGGTTGGAAAATTCACGAACTCTCGCCAGGTCCTCGCGAAAGATCCAGAACACCTTGAAACACCGGATCCACACCCCTCGGGCTTCGCCAGCGAGAAAAGGCCCCTTGGAAGGTAAGACCCTCTACTAGAGGAGTTGGGTGGGAAGCTCCTATCCAATGAAGTGACTGATGAAGTAAGGCGCTGGAAACATCAGATCGCTGCGCGAGTGTGTAATGTACTCCATCATGCCATTTGTGGAGCACATGGCGGAGATCCCACCACGAAAGGCACACTGCTGTCGAGGACGGTCCCCTCTCTTCTCGCGGGCCATAGTTGTCGTGCACCGCAGTACTCTACGTTGAAGACGCTCGAGTGCAACAAAAAGGGGCACGGCCCGAACGAGCTGTTGGTAAGACGCAATGATCCAATTCTTACCGGTCGAACTGCTTCCTTCGTCCTTCGAAAATCAAACCAGCAGAAACTATTAATACTATAAGTACGAAGCAGGACTTGTCATCGCTGACAACATGTTCTATTATAGTCTACTCCCCAAACCCAAAAACAATTAGATCCCAAACCCAAAAACAATTAATTAAATCAAACACCCCTATATTTGGGAAGGATTGATGTAAGAGTGAACGAGGGTGGGGACGCACAGGGCGGGGAAGGGAGCCCTTCCGCTCGCGGTGTTGTTCCATGATTTCGATAAACGTTGGATTTCGGCTTCTAGAACCCACAACAGTAACTCCCAGGCGAGGGGGCCGCGCTTCTTCGCCATCAGCATGGACTTCTTCCACTATTTCCGCTCCGTCGGACGAGGCCTATGTGCAGCAGTAAACAACGACATTTCACCTCTCGCTTTGGTTTCAAATTGATCAAATGCGCCGGGGGGATCGCAGTACCTCCTCATACAAGATGGTAAGTGGAAAGTTTTAATTCCAGCAAAATGTGCCCGTAGGCTCGTGCGTTGTTACGTTGTTACCATTGGCTCGTTTACCACACAGCGACGGTGTTGAGTTGTGGGGGCGCCAGTGTGATTTGCAGAGAGGGGTGGTGGTGTTAATCTCATCATGAGCAAAGAGAGGGAGGCAACTCAAAAGCGTGTGATGGGGTGACCAGACTCTCGCTTCCTCCGCCGATAGCTAACAGCAGTTACGTAGTAGGACACACGCTGTTCCCGCCGTCTCGCCCTCGCTGTGGTGTGTCTCCCTCCCCCTTTGTCCATGTCTGGCTCCGTGTGTGTGGTGTCACGTGCGAGCCGATGTCCCACAGGCCGCTGCTGCCGCTCGCTGCAAACAAAAAGCAATCGAGACCCACAACTACCAAACATGTACTCTCCCCTCGCTTCCTCCACCGATAGCTAACAGCAGCCGTAGTAGGACACACCCTGCTCCCGTCTCGCTCTCGCCCAAACTCTCGCTGTGGTGCATGTCTGCCTCCCCCGTTGTCCATGTCTGGCGCCGATCCATGTCTCTTGCATGAGCTGACGTACGCATACGTCTGGTTCCACCCAAGCTTCCTCCTCGGTCTCGGGGCCGCGTGAATCCGACATTGATGTCGGCACAAATCCTGTGCTATCTTGACGCGCCGACCACAGATTGAACAGAAGGTTCGAGGCAGGAGGGCAAGCAATATTTCATCGCAGCTAAACCACAGCAGCCAGGCCCGCCGTTCTCGGGATCGACCATCGTGTTGCCGATTCTTCCAATCAGCCGTGTCACAAGGCTTGCCTATCGATAATAAATATTTCGGCCTAAGAAAAGCTTTTCGGTCTTGTTTGCAGGTATACGGAGGCACCTCTCTCCATTTCCGTCAAAACAACAAGCAGTGTATTTTTTCGGGTGCCTGTTCCTTTTTTCAACAAGCGAACAGTTTCCATACCCACTAGCCGATGCTGACCCCTGACTGTCCCCAGGGCTCACGATGCGCGTACGGGAGGACCCCCGGGGCGCCGCGGAGCTCTTCTGCGGGCAGCACGGCATCACCGACGCGAAGACGATCGATCTCCTGGGGGAAACCCTGGCGGAACTGCACAATTCCTCGCCGTCTTCACCTCCTTCGTCGATGCATCGGCCGTCGTCTCTGACGTCGCAATATTCAACACAGCCATCCCCACCACCACTGGAGGCAGAGGAGTCCACGTGGGGGGCACCGCGGAGAGGAAATGGTGGAGTGGACGAGGGTGCAGCATCCACCAGAGGGGGCCGATCCGGAGAGCAAGCAGGACGAGACGCGGAGGAAGCAGTAGAGGGAGCGTTGGCGGGAACACGCGTGGAGGAAATCGCACGGAAAATGAGGGGTGAGGCTCACTGGGGCGTCTCCCATTCACCCTGTTACCCCCTTCCTGAGGCCGGTTGCTCCGTCCGCAAATATTGCTTGCCCTGCCACAGGCCGTCTCCTCTCTCCCCCCCCATAAATCGGTGCGACCCGCTCGATCCCACTCTCGTCCGAACCCGATAAGTTACGTGTTGTATCCTTCCGCAAGCCCCAGGCAGGGAAACATCAACGCCCCGTGCCCGCCGCTCATCCTACCTTAGACCCCCTTTCATGTAGCTCTCCCTCTTTCCTGGTATATCTCGCCCCCTAATTTCCCCTTCTGCTTCTCCGTCGAATTCTGATGGCGACCTTGAGAACCGTTCTCGTCCCAGCCCCCTCCTCTCACCCCACCCGGTCAAACGGTCTAATTGCTAACGCTTACGAAACATGCGCACAACCCCCCCCTTCCCCGTCCCCATCCAAACAGCAACGGCAGAGGCCTCCCACGACCCCGCCGACCCCGCCTCGGTGTTCGTAGACCTTCTCGTCAACGGGGACCCCGCCCCGCTCGTGTTCCGCATCCCTCCCAAGAAGGCGCCTCACCGGCAGCCGCGATTATCCGACGGCGGCGTTTCTGAACTGCAAGGAGAGACGGGACAACCACAACAAGGGAGGGAAGGGGAGGAGAAGGAGGAGTGGGGTATGGAAGATGCGTGGGAGGAGGAGGAGGAAAATAAGAAGGAGGAGATTGCGGCGGCAGCTGCAGCGTGGTGCCGAGAGTTCGGGGCCAACCGACCCGAAGAAATAGCTTTCGTGGAGACCGAGATCGAGAAGGCCGTTGAGTCGGCCGCGGAGGCGGCGGAGGCGTCAGCAGCGGTCAGGCCAGCGGCGGCGACCGCTGGCGTAAACGGAAGGTACCATGCCCCGACGGCAGCTTCGGGGGCTCGCGAAGAAGGACATTCGGCAGCAGTATCCGGTGCCCGGGAGCTGCTGCAGAGGAAAGAGTCGGAGTTGTCGGACAAGGACGGCGTGCGGCCGAAGCGAAGCGATCTCGAGGACAGCAGCAGCCGCGGGAAGATGAGGAGGGGCACGGTAGAGGAACGCCTGACGCTGTCGTCCGTGCTTGCGCCGGACGTAGAGAAGGGCACGAGCATCTTCTGGGTGAAGGTATTCGGTGTACATAGCATGTCATATGCTTACCTTAGTTGTCGAGCATCCTCGGTCTTGTAGTTGTGGAGCATTCTCGATTATGTGGCCACACGATACAGGTCGTCCGTGTCCCCATCCCTTCTTGAGAGGTCGTATCCCCGAAACCACGAGCAAACATGCCACCCTAAACCCCGCACGCAATGGTGTTGCACAAATCGCGTGCAGGTGGATCCCAGTCTGCCGGAGGCATACGTGACGGCAGGCTCCTCCGCGCTCGAAATTTCGGAGCGTTTTTGCCGGACACACAACCTAGGGCCGTCGCAGGTTCCCCTGGTGCGGACACGATGTGACCTGACGCTCCGAACATCTATTCATGAATCTTTTCAGACCTTGGTTGTTTTTCTCGCCTCGTCTGTTGAACACCTTTGAAGTTTGCCGTTGTGTTGTCCTCCGACTCCTCTTAACTGCGTTCTATTAGTTGCGGTTCTCACCGAGTACATACATTGAAATGAGATGCCGCGAAGAGAGAACCGACAACGCCAACAGCAACGGCAACACCACCACCACCACCACCACGCGCGATCTCGAAGAACGCTTCATTCTCCACCTGGCGGTATCTTATGAAAAGGTGGCATGGAAGCTGCTTGACGCGTACCCGGCGCAGATGGAGGCTGCCAGGAGGGACGGAACGCTGCTGCCGGCTAGGGTAACGCTGCGGCACGCAGCCTGCCAACGAGAGGTGCAGGCAAGGAGACGCCACACCTGCGGCAAAATGTTTACATAGAAAATATAGTCTTGAAAAGCGGCGAAAACCGTCGACACTACTGTACTGGTGTTTTTGGGGGAATTTCTTGGGAACTCTGAGTGGGAACTGAACGGCACTAGAATCTCAGCGTTCTTTTCACTTCAATCAAGCACCGTTCGTTGTCGTGGGATAGTGTCTTCTCTCGTGCAGACCGCGAGCTCGAGGAAAGCGTGGGTACGGTACGCGGTCAGTTGGTGGATCCCAAAAAGCTCCATCCTGGCCATCCCCGCTCCCGTCCTAGCGAAACACCCCCCCGACCAACATCAACCACACAATATTGCCCCGCAGGTGGCGTTCGTCTTGATCGTTGCAGTGTTGTGGGTCGCACGAAGCCGGCGTTGGTGGTTGTTCAAGCGTGCGACTCCCGCTCCCGCCGACTATCGACGGAGGAAAAAAGGAACCCCGCTGATCCTGTCCCGAGCGTACAGACTACTGGCCCGTGCCTGGGGACGCACGCGGGGCAAGAACACCCGGGGACGGAGAACTGTCATCCCCTCCCCCGGAGGGTGCAAGGTTGAGACTCCTCCGGTTTGTCACGATCGAGGCGACGTCCGCACTGGTTTCGTCGGCCGCTACTTCTTTGGTCGCGTTCTCCGCACGGCACGCGGGAAGAACGTCACCGCTGCACGCGCAGAGGTGGACGGCGACGGTCCTGCCTCTTCTGCAGCTCCGACAATCGCCGCCAAAAGGGCTCCCCGGAAGGGCACCATCACCCCCACCGAAACGGCCGTGGACACGACGACCGCACCCGATGTAAACAACGATCACCGCAGCAGCAGCTACAAAAACGACGACGACGACGACGGCGACGTCAACGGGAGTGGTGAGAGTCTCCCGGGCAACGGGTGGTCGTCGTCGTGGGCGGAAGCTGCCTTGTTCGAGGCCGGTCGCGTCGCCGGGACGTTCGTCCGCGTGGGCGTGATTCGACCGCTGGCGTACTTTAGCGGCCGTGGGACGAAGCCCCACACCCCGGCTTTGCCGTCAAGAACGAAATCAAAACCGGTTTCGGCGAAGAGCCGCAGAAGAAATGTCATTGGTAGCAATCCGAGAAGGACCGGAATCGTCGCCCCCAAGAGACCGCGGATAGATGCGAAAGAGTGCGGGAAAACCCAGGAAAAGCCCGCGGATATTCGTGAACCTCTTGCGGGATTTCCCGCGGACGTCAACGCCCAGCGTACATTTGAGGGTGCGGACGCCTGCAGAATGCCACCCTCTTCGGTAGCAGCGGTGAAGCAGAACCAGTATGTACCACCAGGATGCATGGCTGGAACTGGGAGGGACAAAGCTGAGGAGGTTGCGGCAAAGACCGACTCCGTTCCCGGCAGTGGGAGCTGGACATCGGTGTTGGACGGATTATCGAGAGATCCAGGAAACAGGTGAGTGAGTGACGGGGGGGACATCACCACGGTTGTTGCCTCTCTTCCATCCGAAGAAACTTTCAGAGTCGCACATACATGAGGCGGGCAGGAGAAATTCTCTGTAGCGGTGCTGGTCCGGATGCGCTCGGCTGGGCTGGGCGCGGCTGTTTGTGTGTGTACACGGCAGGATACAATTCTCCGAGATCTCCGAGGGGGTTACGCAGATGAGATAGATATGGATATGATAGACAGACTTGGTGCAGCAGGCTTTGCCTCTTCTTGCTCACGTCTGTCACTCGTTAAACTCTCTAATAAGCAAGGAACTTGAGTCACTCCTTTGTGCAACACGCTCTCGACAAGAGCCCGCGAGCGCGATAACATAGTACACGCGCCGACACCCCAAACACGATATCGTGGAGTCAGCTGACGTCGGTAGGGAAAAGGTTCGGGAGGTAGGCACCGGAATACAAGGACAGCAGCAGGGCGGTTTTTGCTCGCGCTCGTCAAGGGGGACCAGGGTTTGGAATACAAGGGCAGCAGCTGCAGGGCGGTTTTTGCCTGCGCGTGCCAAGGAGATCCAGGGAAAGCATTTGGAACACAAGGGCAGCAGCAGCCGGGCGGTTATTGCCAGCGCGCGTCAAGGAGATCCAGCTACAAAACAATACAGCAGTAGGAAAGGAGACACATTGTGCCGCGTTTTATTTTTTTTTGCGGCGTAATTTGGCGGAGGAAGAGAAGAGATGGCGAGGGAGAAGGACATGACGGAGAGGGAATATGGGCATCTATCGGAGAAGAATGATGCACCGGCAAGAGTAATGGCTGCCGGGAGAACGTCTACCTGGGCAGCTGGTGGAGCTGGTCTCGGTACACAACGGGTGAGCATGATGAATGACGGAAATTGTGCGTTGAGCGGCTACAGCAGCAGTCGCATACCGCCCAAAATCCCGAAAGATTCGGCGAAGGCCGTGAACTGGCTGCGGAGATTGCGGATTTTCCTGGCTAGCGAGGGTTTGGAGCAGACGCTTGAAGACACCTATCCCACTGGCTATGTTCCTGTCATCAGCTGTTTGGATTGCATATATCTGAACCGGGTTCATGGTGCGGCGCTCGTTACGGCACACAAGCGGGCGTGGGGATATCTTTTGGAAGCAACCTGCGGCACGGACATTGAAGAACGGTTGGCTGCTTGCGACTGCGTCCCTGAGGCGTGGAGGGTGATCCGCAAATGGGTTTTGCCTACTTTCGACGCCGAGAAGACATTGCTTGTGCGACGGTTGGAGGCAGTTGAGATGTCCCCTGGCGAGAACCCGAAGCTTTTCTTTGCCAGAGTTGATGGCATCATCAACATCATGCGAGCTGTCGGCATTGAAAAATCCGAGCGGGAAATCGTCCACATCATTGTTCGCCAGCTTTCGCCCGAGTACGATGTCGAACGCAAGTCTATCCTGGCCGACCCCACCATTCCCCGAGCGAAAGTGGAAAAAGTTGTTCGCACGGCATACGCTAACAACGTCGAGATCAAGGAATTGGGCAAATCGAAGGCGATCGGTGGTTTGGGGTGCGGTCATGGCGGCGTCGGTCAGAAGGGGAAACAACGGCGGCGGCAGCAGCAGCAGCAGCAACAACAGTGGGTTCATCCACAACCACCACCTGTACACCACCCACCTCCTAATTTCCCGACGTGGGGATTTGGGGGGCTCTATGACTGTGGGCGCAACGCCGTGTACCCGCAAGAGGAGTCAGCTCCGTCGCCAGGCGCTCCGATGGGTGCCGTTCATCAGTGTGTGAGGTGCGGGAGGCATGGACACTCACTCGGCGACTGTAATGCGCCACGACGCTTTGAAGGCCACTGCACTGCCTGCGGTGAGTATGGTCATCGGCGCCGCATGTGTTGCACAACCGGCCGCATGCAACAGCACGTGCATGTCGGTGATGGAGAGGGTTTCAACGCGAGTGGCAACGACACTATGCCGTACCAGCAGCGGAAGCGACGACGCTGGAGGAGGCACAGGCACAGGCATCAGCCGGAGTCGCTCCTCCCCTTTGCAGATGGAGCGGTGGCATGGGGCACAGCAACTGCTGTGGGAGCGGCGACCGGTGGTGGTGGTTTCCCCGCTACGGTGGCGGGGGGAACGGCCGCGGGGCAGGCACTCGCGGCTGGAGCGGCGGCATCGGAGGCAGCAACGGCGGCGAGAGCGGGGACCCCCGGCAACAGAGTCTTCCCCGCGGCGGCGGCAGGGGGAACGGCCGGGGAGCAGGCACTTGCTGTTGAAGCGACGGTATCAGTGGTGCCACCGGCGGCGGCACCGGCGACGGATACACTCGAAAGCATGAAAGAAGAGCTTGCTGACATACGGAGGCAATGGGGGAAACTGGCGGCCAAGAAACCGGCACTGCATGTGCAGTCGGGCCCACCACTTGTGTCGTCAGCAGGCGTGGCTTCAGCAGCGGAAACAACGGTGGGGACGACTACAGGTATTGGTGTTTTCCCCGACTCGTCGATGGGGGGAACGGCCGGGACGCCGTCAGCTGCAGGAACGGTGGCACTGGAGGTTTCGTCGACCTGCGGCCAGATACCCCCCGCCGTATCAACTGGGGGGGCGATCGCAGTGCCCACATCAGCAGCTACACCGGCACCAGCAGCGCAAGAAGCGGAGGACGCGTGCGATGAGGATGGCTGTTGGTTGGACAATGGCGACGAAGGCGGCAACAGCAACGGCGGCAGCGGCGACGGCAGCTTCGTGGCGTTGTCTGCGGGTGCGGGTGCGGGTGCGGGTGCGGGTGCGGGTGCGGGGCATCCCGGCGCCCATCCGACCGTGTACAATGGTATCTGCGTGGTGCGGGACGATGGGGGTAATGCCAGGGCTGGACATTCGATCGTGGCTGGGAGGGTGCGGTATAAATTGAGAGACTACGTGTTCGGGGGCTAGCGTGCGAGATGACCGGTGGTTGCACCATGAGTCTACGCGCGATTCAGGCACGTTCGTGAGAATTATGTTTATTTGGCTTTCTATTTTCTGGGTCGATTTTGTTTGTTGAAAGCCATGAGTTTGAGAACTGCGTCGACGTAGGCTGTTGTGTTGCGATGCGCACGAACGAACGTGGTGTTTATGGTCTGTGGTACATGTGTTTTTCATTTGTCAAGGATATGGTTTGCATAGTCTAGGACTTCACCGCGCCAAATGGTGCAGTTGATGTTGTTGGGTCACTGCTAGCACTGCTGTCGAAAATCATGGGGGGGGATGAATGTGATGCTGAGATGCCATGATCTTCGCCGCAGTACAAGCAGAGTTCTAGCGGACGTTCGGGTTTGATTGTTCATTTTGTTCACGTTTTCCGCGTTTTACCTGCGGAAAATGAGGAGAAGTCCTCCATTGTTGTTTGTTTGCGATTCCGCGTTTACCTGCGGAGTTTGAGGCAACTTCGTCCAATTCTTGTTTGTTTGCGATTTCGCGTTTACCTGCGGAGTTTGAGGCAACTTCATGATACTTGTCTGATTCCTCGTTGCTAGGATAAGAAATACATTTCTTGTTTATTCGCGATTCCGCGTTTTTCCCGCGGAGATCGGACGTACTTCATGATATTCGTTTGATTTCTCGTTGTTTGGATCCGAGAGTTGTTGCAGCAGGGGGGCTGTTAATCTGTTGTGTTTTGAGAGATGATGCAGCAGGGGGGCTGTTAAGCTTTTATGTTTTGGAAGATACTGCAGCAGGGGGGCTGCTAAGAAATCCATGCCTCGATGTTTGAGAAACGGCATAATTGGCGAAAGTTTCCTCTGGCGTCTTTGAACGCCGGGTTTTTAACGTTTGTCTATTTGTGCCGCATGTATTTGGTATTGATGACTGTTCTGAACGATGTATTGGAGGAAGGATTTGACATATTTTGGTAAGACATGGTTGAGGCCTATGTGCTTCCGAAGCTTATTTCAAATTGGTCAATGAGTTGAAACACAGTTTTGTGCGAGGGTTTTGTTCGAGGTGTTTGTTGACGCGTTTTGCCAGAGTTGTCCGTCCAGAGTCTTTATGACGTGGCTCTGATGTAATGTTGATCTTTGCTGAGTAATCTTCCAAGGATAATTCTTTGTGTTTGACTACTTGAGAATGTGGTGACGACATTTTCTCGAGAGGGGTGCTTGTTAAGACTCTTAGTGAAGTTCCATAGTCGTAGGAGGAGTAGTAACCTGAAACTTGAATATTCGATAGATCCGGGAGTTGAGATGATTTATTTGTGGATACGAAAGATGAATGGTTCTTAGATTTGTTGCCGTTTTACCTGGCGACATGTACGGAGGATCTCGTATTAGATCGTATCTCGTAACGAGTAGGGGGGCTGTTTGTGTGTGTACACGGCAGGATACAATTCTCCGAGATCTCCGAGGGGGTTACGCAGATGAGATAGATATGGGTATGATAGACAGACTTGGTGCAGCAGGCTTTGCCTCTTCTTGCTCACGTCTGTCACTCGTTAAACTCTCTAATAAGCAAGGAACTTGAGTCACTCCTTTGTGCAACACGCTCTCGACAAGAGCCCGCGAGCGGGATAACATAGTACACACGCCGACACCCCAAACAGCGGCGAATACTCATCTCTGGGAAAATTCTATTGCAACGGGATGGGTTCCCTGAACCAACACGTCTGTCCATCCATGTGTTACGTAAAACAAGACATCCATTCGACCGGACCCATCAAAGCCTTCTCTGTCCTCCGGAAGCGAGGTGTTTCGATGACTTCATGACAAGAGTTTCGGGGCTAATTGCGATTGCCACATAGCACGTGCTACAATTGTAGGTCGCCCATGAAAAACGCTCCGAAGTGACGACGTCTATACCTGTGCCCCGGCCGTATATTTTTGCTTTAAGCCGTCAGGATCATCTGCACCGTTTTCGTGCGAAGTGCTTCCGCCCCCCCGCCCCCCCCCAACAAAACGAATCCAAGCACCGCAAGGGAAATACGATGGGGACGAAAAATGAAAGCGTCCCTGCCGATATCTGTATCAACAATGTAGACCGGCAGCGCCAGAATGGATGGAAGGAGAAAACAACACAGACTCGCTACAATAGTGTCGAACGATCACCGCGCAGTCGATTCTGGAGCCACATAAGCTGTTGTGCACTCCTTTCATGTCGCGCTCCGACACGTGGGCTAGATAGGTTTTGGGCGATTCCAACGTCAGATCCCTTAGTGGCGATTTAGGTATAGCAACGAATATGCGTAATATTGCTCCTACCATGAGCGGTGTGTGTGCCCGAATCATGTATGAGGAGGACCTCTGAGCAATTTGGCGGGTGCTTAGAGACAGATGCCCCTTGGCAATTGAAAACATGTGCCGGCGAAAAACCATGAATGCCGATGGTCGTGTACATGGGGGCACCGATTTATGCCTTCATTGTCGTTGCTTGTTGTCCGTTGCGTCTTTTGTCCACCCAACCTCACCCCTCACTCTGTCAAAGACTCTTCGAACACTCATCGATTACCTGCCTTGGATCCGTCAGGTTCATGCAGGCCGCTGTCCTGTCGAGCGTGGGCAAGGTGCTGGCCAAGACCGACTCTTTTGAGATTGAGACGCACGAGGCTTGCGACTGGGTGCGGCTGTTCAAAAGCAAGAAGGCAAGGCCCCAGCAGCACCACCTACTTGCATACCTCTGGGCTGCAAGAGCGGCTGGCCACATGTATCAGGTTTTGGGAGAATGAGCTATTCTGTATATCAATGAATCTCCCTGCTGTTCGTGCCGACATTTACGTTGGTCTTCAATAGGCTGGAAGTTGGCTGGAAAGTTAACCGAAGTGCTTCCGTGCCAGCCCTGTCAATAATAGCTCACATAGGCCTTCCAAACAACCGGCTTTTTTGTGGATTCCCGTCCTCAAGAGCCTCAAGAACTTCAAAACGTTTTGAAGCCGCCCCCAAAGTACACCACCGTTTGAGGAGGTGCGGCCGTCGCCTCCCGCATACAACGGGAAGACTCGCGATGTATGAGAAACGCTTCGTCCACGCAGTACTTGCCATCAATGCACGTCCCGCGCCTGGTCCGTGAACTGTCGTTTGACCTCATTTGATGTATTCATACCGCCCAACTTGAAACAACAGGGTGATATCACGGTAGGTGGGCGCAAGTTAATGGTGCTATCGAGGCAGGAAGGCAGCATCATCCTTTCAAACAAGGCTCTCGGAAGCAAGGTACGGCATGGGCGATGTTCCGTTCATTCGTGGTCGTCCGGTTGGTGTCTACAGTCATGGTGTCTTTCGCATTGATACCCATCATATGCGGGGCTTCCATCCTCGCCAAGGCTCCCACCTTTGGTATAGAGATTTTCAAGTGCGGGTCGATTTTCTGTTTATTCATTCGTTTCCACCGTCAAGTACACGCTACTTAGGAGGGTTTCGCGTAGGATTCGTGGCCGAATTACGCCTCCGGACCCTATTACCAAAACGTTCGTATGTTAAGAATGGCAGGGCCAGTCTGTACCACCACAATCTGCCGAACAGAGCAACTGTGACCTCACCTGCACATATTTTGGCCGAAGGGGATGTTGGCCTGCACTACGGTAGCGGTAACAGCTATTTTCCAGGTTTTTTGTAAATTGACGACATCAAGCTACCGCTTGTGGTGTGTCGACTTTGTCGCCGTTGTCAAGTATTGTCGGCCTGCTACACGGGTCGCAGTGCAGCACCATGACAAGGTCGTTGATGTGGCGCTCCCTCGCTGCAGTCCATACGCATTTTATAGCTGCAAGTGTGGCGACGAAGTTTTGCGAGGCGACTTGCGGGCACTTGAAAAGACGACTGAATATTCATTATCGTCTGCTCAGGATTGAGACCACCACTTCTCATCTGACCACATAATTCAACGCTACTGTTTATCGACGGTGTTTTCCCCGCAATGAAATACGTTCCTCGTCCCCTACCCCCTCACGACGACTGGCAGATGATCGGGCTTAAAGGTCGGTCCGGCACCGTTGTCCTAGGAACCTACACGGATCTTTCAAAGCTGGAGGCCAGGGAGAGTGTGACATGGCTTGCTGATGCGCTCGCATCTGCCCCTGTCCGTTGATTGCTGTTGCCCTTGTCGGGAATATGTCATTTGCAAAGCGTTAGTAGCAACAGCCCAGCAGCGGCAGCAGTTATTATATTTCTACCTCGAAGTTGGGCCTTCATCTGGGTTGCTCCATACGTTGTTGGGCTGGCTGCTACTGAGATCGTTTATTGATTTGTCTTTGAAAAGCGCCAAAGAGGAGGCACAGGATTTTTCTGTGAAAAAGCAAGATATATATATATATGCCTTCAGCATTCAGCATGCGATATCGACTGTCCCAGGAACTATATGTCGAATTTTGCCGCCTGTACCTACAGCTGGTAAACGGGTTTGCAATATCTTTGGGGGCCATAGGCATACGAGATATTGCGAGCGCATGAACCCGAATGGTGGGTGTCCTGCGGGAAGAAGCCGGCGTTTGATGTGTTCGCTATATAGTCTTCTCCGTGTCATCAAACATGAGAAGATTCGTCTCAAGTGGCCTAGCCGTCTGAATGACGGTTTTGATGCCTAGACTACATATGTCGAAGCCATAGACTATAGGCGTAAGCGAGCTTTTCTTGCAAAGTGAGCTTTTCTCTCGCTTCCGCTTCTGGCCAAGTGGATATCGCTAGTTCGTGTGTACACAGATGTTGATTTCTTCTCGCATTAAAAATCGAAGGCAAAGTACCGCAGGAGGGGAGGGTAGAGAGAGGCTCTTCGGTGTGACCACGGGTTGGAGTAAACGGCACTAGTGCTGTGAGCGCTGATTTGAAGTGAAGACGAAAAATAAAGTAAAATAAAAATACAATATACAGACTATCGATTTCGTGTCGAAATATCGATATTCGAACCGATATCGAAAAATTGTTCCGACCGGCCGCCCTCACCGGTTCCGTAAACACGATGATGGTGAATTATTCACTCTGGTCGCGAGTATTCGGAGGGCGCAGGATGACTCGATCGGGGAATTGAAATACCATGATAGTGTTTCCCCGATCCAGCCTGCTGGAGGGGTTCAGCGAATTGTCAACTGTGACCCCTCGGGCAAACGCCTCCTCAGGCGGTTGCCCGACCACCAAACACCAGGCGTAACTTGACACCGCCCCTGAAGCGAAAGATCAACTGAATGAGCCATATCCTGTGCCGTTGCCCAACAAAAGTGTGAATTCCTGTGAGTGCTGAGCCTGATATGCTCATTGCTGAGCTTGCGAGGAACTGTGTGATTGCTGTTGGATGTCTCCAACCGCCTCCTAGTCGTGCTGCTGCTTGACTGCTGTTCTTCACAGATCGTTCTCCGCAGATACAGGTAGTAGGTGTACAATCTCTGCCCAGGTGAGTCATGCATCATCTGATGTGGACATCCATGGAACTTTTCAAGAACGTTTATGAAAAGATTCCACGGTACTCCATGGAATTTCCACGGCCTTTCAATTCATTCCATGGGATTCTATGGAAGGCGGGAAGTTCCACTTCATGGAACTCCATGGAAGCTTCACGGACATCCATGGAATGTTTCATGGGCTTCCATGGAACCGTTCCATGGACCTCCATGGGTTTCCATGAAATGTTCCATGGAAAGGTACGGAAACGTACAACAAGCCCCGCGTATCTTTCGGCAGGCCTCCCTCGCAAAGGGACCGCTACAGTCGCAAAGACGATTCTCCAAGAAGAGTCAAAATTGAGAGACAGACGCAATGAAATGAATGAGTTTCAACGTAGATGGCGCGTGGGAGGGATGCCACTATGACCGCTCGGCGAAACGCGACCGAATGACCGAATGAAAACCTAATACCACTCACTCCCATTTCATCACATTTTCGTATTGTATCCGACACGATAACAGATGTTCCGAGCATGTCCTCGAAACAATAATATTTTTTCCGAATCAGCGTACGTACGGTGTGCGCATTGTCGTGAAGGGCCAATAGAGCGAGATGACGCATTCCTAGGAGTGCCCCCCCCTAAAAAGAGCGTCACTTGTTCGGACTGGAGGAGTGATGCATGCATGTAGATCGTGTGTCGCTCCCCCATTATTTCGATTCCCGCCCGGCGGCAGCTTGATTTCCCCCGGCGGTGGAAGAAACCTCGAACGATTAGACTCCAAGACATATGTACGATCAGAGTATTCAACCCACCGAAAGAAGGTTGTTGAATACAAACAAACGACAACGGCGCGATCGTTGGAGACCGAAAAACTACTTCTGTCTCCATGTTCTCAGTCTCCAGCTGTCTCCTCTTTGCCTCCTCCCTCAACTCTCTCGCACCCACGCGCCCATTTCTGAGGTAAGACCACCGTGCGTGCGTGTGGTTGCCGTGTGCCCCTCTGCAATAGGTTCCGGTGTGGTCTCTCTTCCTACTCACAAGGCATTGGTATTGTGTAGATTGTCCTTGCGTCAATACACAGGTATGTATGTGTACATAGTAGTCTAGAAACTAACGTCAGCGGTTGGAAGCAAGGACACGCCCATGACCACTCCCTAGCATCCGCCTCTCGCATGCTCTTGTGGAGATCAACTTCTTTGTAATGGCTACGATCTTCCAACGTCTGCCCTCTTTTCACAAGGACATGAATGCATCGCGCGGTCTTGGTAGGTCTCCTTCTCACACCTCCATTGACGTAGCTCGAGTTCGTGGTTTGTGAACGAACCACTTTCAAGGGCTGAACCGCCTGAACGACCGCTACTGTACGTTGACAGGTGTACAGGAGGCAACATACGCGACCCTTCCTTTTGGTCATATCCCAAGTTTTTCCTTTGGACTAGTCTATGGGTCCTACAGCCAGTCGTACACCAGTATCCTGGTTTGCCTACGGCTTTAAATGCTACGCCAGTACAAATAGAGTAGGTGGGTTTCAGTTTCGTTCGAAAACGTTCTTCTGTATGCTCCCAAGGTCGGTCGACCGGGCGTTCTTGGGTAAACAAAAAACACAGTCACGTTTTCACGAAAAACAGACGGGAAGCGAAAGGCGTGGCGCACACCCAAATGGTGCACAGCAAGAGCTCGCCAACTTGCGGTGTGCGGGGTCAAATCCGACAGCACCACCGGATAATCAGCAGATGCCGGGCGATATGCGGGCACCAAAGCAGTCTCGGCAGTGGAGGAGGGAAGCATGCTGTCATCTCGCGCACGACCGCACAAAGCGAGTACCTGTGGCTGCCGTGAACAAGTTTGGTCTGCTACTGAAATGACCTCGTGCAACGAAGTCACGGAGAGAAGAGCGCGAGGAGGTTGACGAACATACGAGAAGTCTCCTGCTACGCCTGAAACATCTCCGATGCGAGAATCTGTCGCTAGATCCTATTCACGTGCGCTCGCGGCAAACAAACGCATCGTAGGCAGGCATCCGATCCCTGAGTGCCCCGGGCACTCAAAACAAGCTCTTGTAGTCCCAAACCCAAAAACAATTAATTAAATCAAACACCCCATAAAATTAATTATATGGGGTGTTTGATTAAATTAATTGTTTTTGGGTTTGGGGAGTACAAACATATATGGGGTGTTTGATTTAATTAATTGTTTTTGGGTTTGGGGAGTACATATGGTGAGACCTAAAATTGCAAGCAACAAGCAATCAAAAAAGAGGACGCACCAAGCAACAACGCTAGGGAGTACAGCGCCGCGTCCAACGCTAGCTTACCCGTAGACTTGCCCGACGACGCCAGATATAAATAAAGGAGCTCCAGCTGTTGGACGCAGCTGGGTCCTAGGGTAAAGAAAGAGAGGTATACGGTCGCTTGATGTCTTGTCTCCACGATTGTGTAGAAATGAGATGTTGCTTGAATTGAGAGCGAGGAAGGTCTGGTTGATGAGGGGATCCTCCTAGTGCTCCTAGCAACCAAGGGGCACGCAGATAGCTGAGTCCTGATGTGGTACGGTCCCTCAGAGTTATACCTCCCGGGCATCCCACATCCTATTCTTGACCAAGATGTACTTTCTAGACTAGGCCCTACAGCAACACAACAACCCCTTTAGGGCTGGATCGCCTTTTGGGGACACTTTTTGTCCCCATCTTCTTCACCTGCTTTACCTCGCGAAGAATGGCATGATTGTCTCCTCCTTTGCACTACTCGACCAGGGGGGTGCCGGGGTACACAAAGACGACTCTAGTCTTCTACAGTAGTATGGATGCTTTGTAGAGTGCGGTAATGAGTAATGAACAGGTCGAATTGCGGGGCGATTGCGCCGCGAGTTCAACACAGAGGTTGCGCCGCGTCTGCCTACCCTTGGGTGGAAAGCGCTACTAGGGGCAAGCGCGGAAGAAGTACCTAGCCCACCGTTGATAGAAGGCACCGAGCAACCTAGGGCTTGAGTTAGAAGGTCTCGCTTTCCCTCTAGAGAAATATTTTGAAAACTTTCTTTTCGTGCCCCGTTTACCACGCTCCGCCAGTTGCTGTCTACAATAATCCCTATCAAATGTCCCCTCGTATGTCCCCTCGTATCGAAGGGACATTTGATAGGGATTATAGACAAGAGACGGTTCAAGTGGGAAGGCAGCTTTGCACTTGCACTTAGGGATGGAACTGTCTGCACCATCCAATCAGCAGGCGTCGTTCGCTCTTTTTCTTGCGTTTCAGAATTTCGCAAGAACGCCGAATTTTCTGTGCGTGGTAAAGGGGGTTTTAACACCATGGTGTGTCGGTCGTCGAACGCTCCCCATGCTCCATGGTGTGTCGGCCGTGTTGCTTGTACGTTCCGGAAGTCGGCCGCACGTTGTACACTTCACTTCTCCTCTGGGGCGTGTGTGTGCTTGTCCCGTGCACGAAAGGGAGCCGCACTTCCAACATCAAAATTTGACAAGTTCTACCGCTCGCAAATATTTTTGTTCTAAAACACTCGAGAGCGTGTGTGTGCATGTGCAAGCGTCGCGATGGGGGTATATACGATGAACCGCGTACGATGCACGAGAAAGTCGAAACCAGGATGCCGATTTATCGAAGAGTACGACCGTGTTCGGGAAGAACGAAGACAATCGCCGTGTCTTGAAGAGATAGAGGCGAAGCAGCAGAGTGTAATTTTTTTGGGGAGAGGATTTTTAGACTAGATCGGATGCTGCGAGACTGAACATGAATGAATGGGATGGGGTGGGACGAGCGGGGGAAGGGCAGCCCATCCGACGGCGCTGTTGTTCAATGATTTCGATAATGTTGGACCAGCCGCCACCGTTACGTCACGGTACCCGCCCCGCCACGTCTAGACTACCCGCCCGAGGCCGGCAGATTGCGCGTTGCAGCTCGTCGGAAATATCACAGTGAAGGTTGGAGAAGTTCTGCCGCTCGGAAATTATTCGTTCAAAACAGTTGGAACTGCGGGGCGTGTGCGTGCATTGCACGAAGGACTACACTTCATAAGTTCTGCTGGTCGGAAATTATTCGTTCGAAAGTACTTGGAACTCTGGAGCGTGTTTGCGTTGTACATATTCTACATACATTGCGCTTTGTTACCATGCAGCAGGTTCTACGAATCGCAAATCAATGCACCGTCCACGAATCTGGCCAGCTGCTAATACCTGGAGGGAGCGGCTGATGGGTGGAGCCGTTGGGTTTATCAAGTCGAGATGCGGGTTTGCTGTGCTCATGTGCTGTATTGTAATAGTAGAGAGTGTTGTAGACGAGGATCGGTGCATACAGACTAATTGGTGACATATCTCAAGCAGGAGGACGGAGGGGTGGTGGGACAACCTGCGGGCAAGAACAACATATATATATCTATATTCTGAGAATCTTGAGATGCTCAGAATATATTTTGTTGTTCTCGCCCGCAGGTTGTTCAGTGAAAAATTCACCGGATACATACTGCTGTACATGCCGCCACATGCATCACAGCAAAGCACGAGAGAGTGGAAAGCACCTGTCTGTCTGTGCAGGTTGCCGCAACGATGTTGAGAGAGAAAGAGAAAATAAATATAACGCGAGGCTGGCGACCCTAATGTCGTCAATCAATCTTGATTATTGTCGTTCAGGGGAGTAGAAGAAGATGAACTTGTTACTACGCCCACAGGGGGAGCAAGATCGAACGCGAAGTTTTTGCCGTACCGACATGCATGCAGCCATCTCCCCCCGCCCCCCATGATCACTCCTCTCCTCATCCTCTGTCTGCCTTGGCAAAAACACAGCAGCAGCAAGAACAAACAGATTCTTTGCGCAGGTACGATCGCAACACTCCGGGGAACGAGCATGTTGACCATCCTGTAGCCCTCCAGCAAATCACATTCAGAGGGCGCACGGTATAGGACTCGCCAGGAGTTAGCCCAACCTACGTAGGCTACCGTACCGTTCAAAACGGGAAGCTTCTTTTTCCTTGGTTGCCTATCTATGTCTAGACTAGATATGTAGGATCTTTTTGCGGATGCAGACGGGTGTTTGGGGTGCACGGCGGGAAAAGACAAACACGGAGAGGGCGCATATGTTGTAGCAAGACGCGGGAAGCGCATAGACAGGCCCACGTTGTTTTTCTCGTCAAATGCCCTTGGGGCGAACGATCGAAAGGCGCGTCGAAATATACCTACGACGAAAATGTAATGACAAAGATTCTGCAACAAATTGGAAATTTCGATGGAACGTGGAGATCGTTCTCCAGTGTCCGCGTAACGTTCCTCGTTCCCCACAGTCTCGCCGAAGGCTGCGACAGGTACACACCAGCCATCACACCTCCCTGTCATCGACAATCAACGCTCCTTTATCACCATGTGTGATGCCATGGTTCTGTGTCCGTCGCTACCGTCTGCTTCATGTTTTGGATTTGGAGATCAAAGGTTTGATTCCTGCTCAAAAAAATCTAGTTGAAACTGACGGGCAAATCGCCAAGCGGGAAAGGCTCCGTTCTGCGTCGCTTGTCCGATACACGTCTCGCATTGGCTCACCCGACACGTAAGTCGGCAGGCGGTATGATGCCTTCGCAAAAAATGTTGACACCGTTTAACGCCACAAGGCTCTTATCCACAACCTGCTTGGAGGTTTGCGGAGAATGGGCCCAAAGGTAGAGCCTACATGACTATAGAGTAGAGTAGATAATCGCGGATCTTCGCTTTCCCAGCAAAGGAACCTATCCTGGCGTTGAACATGAGCAAAAATAACCCCAGAACGGTGACAATCGTGCGCGATCAAAACGACATCGCCAATACGAACAGGTCTGGCAGTATGTACATGGGCGTCGTAGCCCGCGGCGTGGTAGCCGGGAAAACAAAATATGAATAAACCAAGAACGCGTTGGTTGCCATTCTTCTTACTATCCTCTCTTGTGTGCATAGCTCAAACGTCACAGACAAGGGGTCACTCCAACGGCTTTTTTTTTTACGTTTTGTTTATTAGCGTGTGCAAACAATTCATCCATGAATCCATCAAATTTCGTATTAATCCGACGACCACATCCTGCATGAATCGATTTGGTATGTATATGATCATGCAAGGTCACGTGGTCTCTCATCATGCAAAGTCGTGCGGGAAAATAGTTAAAGAATGCTTGCGAGTAAGAAATGTAGGCTCCAAGCCGGACTGCTGTACAAGCACCGTTGCACGTTCGTTCGTTTTGTTCCCGGTTTCTCAAGGACAGATGTCTTTCGAGCAGAGTACGTCAGCGTGACAGGCGATATGTAGAGCCTGGCTATAGAGACTATCGGTCAACAGTTGACCAGCTGGTCGCCGGATTGATGCCATCAGAGAGTCAAGAGGTATGGGGGGAACCTTGTAGAATCACACATGAGCCGAAAAGCCCGACGTCGATTGGTGTGGCAAGGGAAATTCTAGACTTTTATGGCGGCCACAACCTCTCACAACCCATTTCCACCCACACAAACATTGCCACAAGGCTCACACCGCAGCATGTAGCAGCAGTGCCAACCATCTTTTTGGTGCGTGGGTCCAAGCCACTGCACGACGTGTGGCCCCGGAACCTCACACCGGTACTACTGGTCCGGGCAACTCACGAAAGAGGGTGAGAGAGGGTGAGAGAGCAAGGTGCAAGAAGTGGGTGTGAGATGACGTGATGGCTGATGGGGCGTTGAGATGAGAATAGCAGGGCGCTGCTGCTGATAAGTTTCTAAAGCTGTCGTACAATCCACTGTCTCTCGTTTGAGCGAGGCGGGTACACTCTTGCTCGACACCACTCGTATCCTTTTGATCGCTTCTCGTCCAAGTCGGGATCAGAATCTGCTCATTCTTCCTTACTCTTAAACAATTCTTGAACCATAATATCATTATTTCTTACCTCCCCGTAATTTTTCGCAATATTACGCTGTGACGTGTCGTGTCAAATACAGCCATTGAAGATCCAGCACCAAGATGCCTCTCCTGGGGGCACTCTTTTTGGCACTCACCAGCGGTGCAGTGATCGGACGCGCTTCCGGCGAAAGTGTCGAAAGCTCGGCGTGCGAGTTTTCAACGTTCCTTTCGCTCAGGTGCGGCGTTGCATGTGCACGGCGTGTCGTTGTTTTTTTGTTTTTTTCAACGAAGAAGACCGCTGTAGGATTCCGTCGGGATCGTGTGCTTCGGGAATGTTTGCCTTCACTGCTGCAAACAAGCACCCAATCGCGGGCTGTTATCGAGCAGGACCACTTCGAAAGAACCACAGCGTCCTACTCGCGTGTAGCAAGAACATTATTGCAAACAAACGTGGAGCGTGTGCGACTCCTACCTATGATGAACCCTCCCTTTCGCTTTCATTGCGGCCGGAACATGTTTGTTTCCGGTGTCTTTGCTTGTGGGCATTTTCCTTAAAGTTCAATGTGGCTGCTGTGTCCATGGGAGGTCGTCTCAGCACTTGGTCATTTGACGGCGTCGAACGAAATAAACAGCCCAATGAACTACGGTGCATCATCGACGCACCCCTGGAGTTCATGAGATGTAGACATCGAAAACGTAGTGTTGTGTTAACTTGCGGGGATCGACGTTCGAGAGTTCTCATGCACAGTGCAAAAACACATGTCGCATGATATCGTTCGTTCATCAGAGCGGAGTGGGATGCGGACGACGAGCCGTGCCAGAAAAAGCTATCCTTCGAGCTATGGACGTTCATGCAGGCCGAGGGATCAGCCCAGAGCCCTGACGCTCAGCGCGTTCGAGCCAGCTGCGTCGAGCATGAAGAAATTGGAGTGGTAGAACTCATCACTCCCAAGGTGCACGATTGGTTCTATGTGGTGATGTTAGATTTGACTTACCGACACAACCATTCCTCACGCGGTGTTCGTCTAAGCCGAACGCAAACGTTGTTGTAAGTGGTACACACAACGCTGGACGCATCACAGCGATGCTACCTTTTCCATCTTGTCGGGAATGAACGGTACATACTCTTCATCCAAGATGGGCAATTTTATTTATTGAAAACCTACCTTCTCTGCCTCTTCATCGCCTTTGAGTGCAGGGATACACCATGTCTGACAGCGTGAGCGCGGCCCCAGGAAGCGTGGTCAGCGAGACCGACCATGCCTCTTCGTACCAGGGCGCCACCGCCATGACGTTCGAAGGTGGCCATGAAACGATTGCCTCCCGCTAGGTAGTCGGTGATAAATATATAAATCGTCAAGAACTTTTTGGCGTTACGCATGCAATACTCCCTCCGTAGATCCTGTACTCGTAGCTGCCCATCACCAATCAAAAGGCTGATGACGTCCACTGCTGCATCGATTGGTACCGTTCGCACGAATTTTAACACGTAGCGTTCTGCGAGGACGAGAACATTGAGCGAGTTACTCGGGTTGCCTCTGTTCTGGAGGCGTACCCGCGCAACAAGCGGAGTGGCCGAACGAGGCGCCACCTTCAAAGCACCACCAGCGAGGCAGGACAAGCGCATCAAGTAAGACGACCTCGACTATTGTTGCATTTGGTGGCATCGTGCAGATCAAAAGGTTGCGGCAAGACAACAATGTTTGCTCTTTGGATTGAAGATGTGGCGACATCAACCTCGACATATTTAACGGATTCCCGCCAGTAAATCAACTAGTTCCCTGCCTTGAAAACGGTTGGCAAAGCACGTGGGGGCCGTTTTAACCGACTTCTCAGAAAACCAAACACGTCACGTTTAGAATTGGACCCGTCGCACCGCCAAATGAACGTTTGCCGAACAATGCAGATGTTGAGTTTCGTACGGGTGCAACCTGATATGTCAACCACAGGTAGCCGAGCTCATCGACGGTCTGAAGAACCTCGGGTGTACGAGAACAACGGGGGAAGATCAAAAACTCTGCGTTTTGTCAGACAGCTTCAACTACTTTGGCGATGCCGCAACCCTGAAGGATTCCGGAGACCTGCCCGAGGTCGAGGTTGTCAAGGTACGACACAGGTGGATGTCGACCCACAAGGACCTGGATCGTTCGATCCTTAAACCGATTGGGTTACTGTAGTTTCTATTGAACAGTGATGTCGCACATTACTCGAAGGTTTGCAGGTTCTCTTCTCGTTCTCCGAAACGCCGGACAAAGATGGTGACAACACGAACTACGGGCAACGACAAACATACAACCCAAGTCTCGTGTTGGGTAACAATTTCCTGATGACCACACACAGAGGCTGTTATCAGCAGGTATCATTCCATATTCCATATATTGTGTTTCATAAGAGATCGATATTGTCTTGCTTAAGATATCGAAGTTCCACGCAGGGAGAATCAGTAAATTGTATCTCACGCCAAACATCTTTGGGTGAACTGTTAGAGATGAAACATTCGCAGATTTCTACGGAGACTCACAAACGGATAGCGAATGGTGGACCCTTCAAATACCGGACAGTCTGACGTCAGTACGGCACCAATATCCGTGGAAACAGGCAAACCGGAAATTCTATGTTCTCCCGTTGGACACCACACGTCAAAAACACGAAAAGAGCCGTCGAACCGCTCACTAGCCATTGTTTGTGACGAGACACGAAGAAAAGACGCAATCCCTATTTTTGGCAAGTCTGCCACAGTTCTTGGTGTTGATCCCCGCCCCCAAGGCAAGCCACACGCAATTTTGCTCCGGGTGAAATTGCGATCTGTGTGTAACACGACCTAAATTCTTACAAACGCGATCGACCAAGAGCCAAGCGCAGCGCCGACACGCAAGCTCGAGATGCCCCTTATAACCCATTCCCTTGATGTTCGCTGATGTTGGTGACTAAAAAACAAATGCGCGTACTCTGTCATTTTCCAGGAAATCCCCGAAGGCTATGAGGGCGTTGACGAAGGTGCGTGCGTTTCTATCTTTGGTATGTTGACGCATGTATGCACGTGCGTTCTACGTCCCATCGATTCTTGATGCCATTCTGCACGCTGTGTCCGATTTAGGAACGCCAACCCCTTCGTCATTGGGTTACTCGCTGTACCTGTACCACCATCCCGTGAACCTATTAGCAGCACGGTTCAGCTCAGGTCCCACTCTCCAGCTGAATCTACATGTGCGCGTGTTGTAACCCACGAAAGAGTGAAACGATTGCTGCACCCGCGCCTTAAGTATGAACCACAAGCAAGCACAAAGGAGGAAAGGGTGAAAAAAATAGTACGAGTAGATAGATATCTCGGTAGACGTGTGATTTTTTGTTTCATCGTACCTGCCGTTTCTGTTTTCAATCTGGAGAATGAGGGTACGCCGCCCCCTCACGGTGCCCAGGGTCACGGCCTTGAAAATACCTTGCCGTTTTTACCCAAACTGAGACGACGTAGTTCCGATGGCCAACTGGTGGTCGATGCAAAGAAAAACAATTACGCGCGTACACCTGTGGTCTAGTGCGGTATTTTGGACTGAGAAACTCTTTCTCTGTCCTCTGCACATGCTTCATCTTGTCTTCATGCACGCAAGTTTCACTTTTACACTCTGCACTAGCGTCAAGAGTTGGCGTTCTGATACGCATCCACCGCACGTGTTTGGTATCTAGGATCTGCCATGATAGAGCTCGCGTACGATATCGCGTCTGGAGCAACGTTCAAGTTCAGCACGGCCTATGGTGGCGAGCAGGTACGGCGGGTAAACCGGACAACTTTTCGTCTGAGCCTACATCCCCGCGTGACTTGATGATATCTGTACACAGCGAAAGCTTGTGATGAGTACTGAAAGCTACGACAGTTTAGGCAGGTGGAAATGCAAAATGCAGCACAACTATAGGGAACCGAATGGGGATCAAACTGTCACACGTGCTGAAGTAGATAGATCCTACAGGCACAAGGGCAGTGCACGGCCTTAGCATGCGCCGTGGAGCAGCTCACTGTCTTCGGGCTGTCGCTCGAACGCTAACGTTTAACTTTCTTCGCCTTCCCCCCTACTTGCTGTTTTTGCCGTTTCCGACTCGCGCTTGTACCGTTTGCACTACGGCTTGCACCGCTGTCGTATGCCAAGATCTTCGCAGACAACATTGCGGAACTAGCGGGTGAAGATCATCAATGCGACGTGATCGTCGATGATTTCGTGTATGTCACAGAGTGAGTTTTCAAGAAATACTTTTTCCCCTGGGTACATACCCCCCCCCCCCCGGTGTTTTGCCATCGGGGTTGGGTTTTCGTCGCTTGGCAACGACCTTGTAAAACAAACCGCCCCCCCCCGGTGTTTTGCCATCGGGATTGGGTTTTCGTCGCTTGGCACCGACGTTGTGAAACAAGCCAATTCACTTCGTGAACTCGGCAACCAGGTTACCGTTTGTTTTTTTTTACCTCGTTTTTTTTTGTTGGCGGTAACCATAATGGTGGTGGAGTAGATCAGGTTGTGCGGGGTGGAGAACCCTCACTCCGCGCAACGGGGGATGATCGCACCACGTTGTGTCAAAATGGTCAAGCATCCTCGAGGCAGTTACACAGTGCTTACAACTGTCTCTGGAAGTGAAAGCACCAGAAAATAAATTAAGTCATACGTAGCTGTCATCCGCAAGCAAGTAAGCACAAGATGTCGAACACCCTTAGCAGGATGCAGCTCACCCTTCATGCGGGTCGCCAAATACCTCACGGCGCTTCGCGCTTGGTGATGTGAGAGCCTGGTCCGGTGAGAACCCGGCGTGCTCCGTCCCGGCTTTGTAGGGATGCGAGGTCAATGGTCTAACGACTACGGCATGCACGACTATGATTACAACTGCCCCCCCCCCCCTGGGTACACACGCACGTTTGTTTGTTGATGGTAGGCCGAAAGCTGTGCTGCTCTTCGCTGCTGATCCATCACAGAAACACAAGCAACGCTCTCTCGCTGAGCCGTCACGGGTGATGCCGCCTGGTGTTGCGAGCTAGGCATTAACTGGCCGGCCCGCGCCACGTCTCCCATTATTTGATAAATATCGTATGACCCTTCGCTGGGCAAATCCTCAACGTTTCAACCGGGCACTCCCGTTAATTGCAGTGTACTTTCAAGCATGCAGAGGCGTTCATTGGGGAAATATATCGTCAAATCAATTCTGGGATTAATCGTATATTTTTATGGCCACATCAACATCAGTAATGCTCTACGCAGCCACCTCAAATTAATGTATCCCGACACGTGCCAGCATTCCCCCACAACTGTTCATCAGATTTGACTTTATTCCCTGCCTGAACACCTCGAGCCGACGGCCATAATTTTCGTAGTTTGGGTTAATCTACCAACGAGCGACTTACCGCATGCTGCCGGGCAACAGTACCGCGCTCGTGTTCCAGGAGGTAGCCATCGGTACGTTGCTCTAGTTAAGCAGTTCCGTGGTACCCTGCCTCCGTCACACACCACAGGCCCGCCTTCCGCGACGGCGTGGTTGCCAAAGAGGTGGACGCTGCCGTCGGAGGAGGAAGTCTGTACTTTTCGAGCGTTGGAAACAACAACGGCCTCGACGCTGGAAATTTGGCGGGAATGCGGTTCCCCTCGGTAAGAACCAACCCGACCGTACCTCGTTGTTGTCTTTTTCCATCCTTTGGTGACGTTCTGGGAAGTGTGGTCTGGTTTGTTCGCTGGGCGGGGCTGCCTCTCGTTTGATTGCCGCGATCTTGTCACGCGGTGTTGTTCAACTGCGCTGAAAAAGGTGTCCTGGCCGGACTGTCACTGCAGTCGAGTGCACTTCGTGGACGAGAGACTCCTTTTGGCAGGGAACAAAAGCAAACGTTGTGTCCGGTTTGCGCTTTGTCCGGATGCAGGACTTCGAATGTGCGTCGGGATTTGGGCCAGTTTTCACCGGTATTGGAGAGTGCGGCACGAGTGTTCCATCGCACGTGTTCCAACCCGACCTGGGCACGAACGATATCAACAGGTAAGTGTGCGATTAAGAATAAACGGCACACACCACTTCTGGGAACGATATATGTCGAACTGGGCCGCAGTAGCCGTGCGCTTTCGCTTCCTATTGCTTGAAAGCGATAGCATTTATCCTGTAACCTTGACTCATAAAAGCGCTGCGGAAACGTTGTTCCAGCCTCGCCCTTTGTCTGTTTTTAATCCGAGGGAGGTTGGCCGCGCAGCTCCACTTGGGTTGTGATTCTTTCTTTGTGCGGAATCGGAATAAACATACTTTTTTGAAGGATTGTGTGCTTGTCCCTTTCCCTGCCTGCGGTCTTGCCCGACTGTTTTCTACCCTTCCCGAAACTCGATTGCCATTCTCGAGGTATCTGCTTCCGTTGGACGCAGTCGCGCCCCAGAATAGGCTGTACGTGCACTGGGACGCTGATGGCGGGACCGACCAAGACATCATGATCGTCATATACTTCCAAGAGTTTGGCTCAAACACGTATTCCGCTCTCATAGACGGCGACGCCGTAAGTATGCCAATCATCAGTGCACAGCTGGTAAAGAATGTTCGACTGGTAAATCGTCGACGCTGCTTCGCTTCGCGGCGTCCTACAGTTTAGATAACCCGAAGTTGTTTTGACGATCGGCTCCGCGCTCAGTGAGAGAATGTACGAAGCTTCCGAAATTCCAATACCGGTATCGATGGCGCCTCGGATCCCAGTTAGCGCTTGCAACTATCATACTTGGGACAAAGCAACGGTTCGAGGGGTATCCATACCCCTCTCAAGGTTACCCTTCCCCCTCGCAGATGGGGAGCTGGCTATCATGCCCACCTCCCTGCATGAAACTGCCCCGGCTTTTGTTGCGTGGAAGGCGCAGCAGGCGTCTGAAGTCGATTTTGCGGTAGGCGTTCCAAAAGCAGATCGTCACGAGTTCTCGTTTGCACGATGCAACATCCCTCTTCATGGGCATCTCTGCGTGCTCCACACCACCAGGTTTCTGGAGGCTCTCCGGTGGACTGGATTGATTTTTTCCCCTCCATCGTCGTAAGTTAACGGGGTGGTTTCGTTTGATTTTGTATTTGCTGTCGTCTTCTTGGCCGCCTATGGACTCGCGCTTATCAAGCCTCCCTTCCCCCACCAACGTGTGGGTTTTGGCTTTTCTAAGAACGGCAGGCAAAACAAAGTTATACGGGAATAGTACGTTTTACACTCTGTCATACTCTCCGTATCTTACATTTACCTGATTCCTTGCCCATCCCCTCTTTCGTGCTGCTCACTGCCCCCTTCGACTGTAGGGCAATTATTACCTGCAAATTATCCACTTTGGTCCAACGGTAAGTCTCGCCTGGTTTGTGGTCGGGACTCTCGTTCGGTCGGAGGTGCTGTGTTGCCGGGTTCCAATGCTTAATCTTGGCGGTAATCGCTGCGTTTCTCAGCCCCAATGTGGTGGTAACGGCGGAAGTTGCCCCAAGTTGATTTCGTTCATCGACGGGCTACCCCTTCCGGCTTGCTGCATGTGCATCATAGAGGCCTCCAGCAAAGCCGACCCCTGTAAGGGTTAGCATGAACATATTCGTGAGATGAGTGTCTCCAAGTATTGTATGCCGACGCATTATATTCCTTTCTCTATCATCAGGCGGCATACATTGATGCGGACTTTCTCCTGCTATCTAGCGGCGGTATCGGAGGGCATACCGACGGAAACATCTACGGTCACGCATGTGCCAAGAACTGTGTCGCCGTCGCAGCCATCAATTGGGTGAGAGCGTTTTCCCTCGACCCACAAGTGAATCAGCCGCGAAACATTTCTTAATCACCAACATGAACGGTAGCAGATCAGAAATTAGACGGATTTTCTCTAAAACAGCCCCACCGGACGCTCTGTTGGTATTTTGTATCAACACTGCAGTAAGCTCACTCGTGGGCAGCAAGATATTCATCAAATGACATATACACGGTGTAACTCATGGTACTGGTAGTTTTTTCCATATAACCATGTCGTACTTCGCGGTTTGGCATCTGGCAGCAAGAAGGAGATGGGCCTGGCGGTTCTTTCGAGGACCCCGAAACCAGCAGAGTGGAGTATTTTTCATCCACGGGACCATGCATCGTAGACCCTGGCAGCGGTAAAGAGACCAGGGAAAAGCCGACAACTTGCGCGGCTGACGGCCTCGCGACATCGACAACCGGTAGGTGAATTGTAGTTTAGTTTTGCGTGCGCGCCACAAAAACTACCAGCGCGATGTACACGTTACCAAAAATGAGCTCGATAAAAAGCACTTTCTAGAAAGCACTTGGTTTGCCCGAAGTGTTGAATAGATTAATGGGCTTGATTTTGACTTGTGTTGCGTATTTTCCCAACGTATTTCCAGCCTAAAGGACGATGCTGTAGGGATAAAAATAAATAAGGATGTAAAGCTAAGACCGGAGTAACAACATGATCTCCCGCCCTACCTAACGTGTGGTTAGGTAGCAAAGTTAATTACGCAGATTCTGCTGGTCGTGAAAGCATCTCAGCTGAACCTGTGCGGCTTTGTGGGTGTGCACTTGGCGTTGAAAACGTATTATTCCTGGCAATGCTGCATAGGTTTGCCTTCCGAGTCTCAAAAAGCCCTTTTGCTATCTCGGGAATTTACTTAAGTGCCATTTTACTAATCTTGTGTGCGCGTGATCACCCCTGTAACTGGCGCCAGTTTAAACACCTTTCGGGTGTGAGTTAAACGTTTGACGTATCAGCGCCGACCTCCCACCTGTGGTTGTTGCCTTTATTCTTTGATCGCTGTGTGAGTCCATTGGCTACTTGTCATGGGGGACTTAGAGTCGCGATTTCTCTCAACTTTTTCGAATATCGCGTTGAGTTGTACGTCGTCCACAGCAGTAAGTAGCAAACCTCAGCACGCTGGCGCGCATCATGCCCTACTTCAAGTTCCATCGGTTGTGACGTGACAGGATTCTCTGAATTCTTGGGCACTTCGGCGTCGGCACCGGTGGCGGCGGCGATCGCGACCATCGTAAGGGCTGCATGCTTCCCGAGGGTGCGTCGAGTCAGCAGTCTTTACCTTCCAGACTAAGTTAATTGGTGTGTGTGGTGTAAAGAACGTTGACATTCTACGTTGTGTAATAGCACTCGATTAATTTGGTGATATTTCTGGATATGGATCGAATCGTCGTAGAACCTGTCGTTGGTTTACCCAGCATCCGCGCCGTGAACATCTCGACAGGTGGTGGAGTACGGAGAAGTGATGGAGATGCTGACCAACTATGAGTACACAGTCGACTATACTAATGACGCCGATGGAGCTGCCGAGACATGGGGCAACGAAGCTGGACACGGGATTATTTCCGCCGCCCAGATGCTCGCATGGGTGGAGGAGAACTGTAGCGAGGCCTGCTCAGGTAAACTGGCAAGAAAAGGAGTGGTGATAGTATCCGGCTACGGCGGGACTGGTCCAGCGCACCCAATTATGAATCGATCGGGGCAGTTGATTGTGCAGGCACGAAGAGTAACGCATTATAAGAAGATAGTCAAGGGTCATGACGAAGCTGAGGCAGTACTTCTGAAAGATGAAGATCGGAAGGAAGACTGACGGCGAAAGGTGTAAGGCGAAACAAAGAAAAGTAACTAGAGGAAGCAGGCAGACACGACTCGAAAATATATTGTATATGGAACGAGGTAGGAGACCGAGCATCGACAGTGCGGGTCGCGAGATCCAGGAACAAAGGAAATGAATCAAAGGTAGAATGGAAAGGGAAGCCTTGCTATGTTTTGAGGAAGGGAAGCAAAACACCACGAGATATTCACGGGGGCATAGATTCGTCCCTCTATAAAAACCTGCAGGCTGTCCCACGTAGACCATTCGACGGCCCCACCCCGCACCCCCAACAACCCGCTTTTGCCTTCTTTGCCTTTTGGTTGTTCTCAGGAGCATCCGGATCAACCCCGGCGCCAACACCTACCACTGGTGAGTTTAAGCCAGAAAGGTTTTGGGGTTGAGACTCCACGGTGAGATCGTTACGGCCCTGCGTTTCCCGTGCACGAAGAAGCATCCGCCGAAAGCTGTCCGCATGGAACTGAAATTAATCCAGGCAAAAAAACGGCGCCAGCCGCCAATGTCAAAACCTCTGCTGCAACTACACGTTCGACACGGCCCGCCTAGTGCCCGGTTTGACCACATGGTGTTCTGGATGTAGCACGCCCTTGCACCACAATGAAGGTCATCGTCTGGTCAACACAATACGCCCCACTCTCGTTCATCATTTGCATGCAACACAGATGGATACACGCCTGTTCCGACGCCGTCACCCACCAAGGCCCCTACACCGGCCCCTACCGAGAGTTAGATTCGATTCTTCTCTCGGTTGTTTTGGATGCTGTCGCTGTGTGTTCTGTCCTGTTCTGTACGACTAGTCTACTCCAATGGTCCCCGTATGGCCTAATAACGTTTTCGACATTGGCAAGACAAAAGGTCAAGAGGTGTTCGAAGCGCCGCTGATCTCGTCCTCCGTTTGCCACGCTTATATATCAGATACGGCGGGACACACTCCGGTACCGACTCCCGCCCCCACCACCATGAGTTTCTGATTTAGTCAAGTTTTGCCTTTCGCAGAATCGATCGTGGAAATGGTGACGTTCGCATTGCATGCATAGGACGGAGCGACAGGAACACCGGGAGCGTTCCGATACTGATGGCCACACCGAATTTCTTCGGAGATTCCTTGTCCAGATTTCTAGAAGAATTGAGAGTTCTCTGGCAGAGGTGTAGAACCTCATGAGTTTCCGGTGTTTTTCGCTGAAACACCACGCGTCGCCAAGTCTATGGTTGTAGGGCTACATTTGCGTCCTAACCCTGCGTGTTTCAATTTGCGCTGTACGTGCCCAGCTCAACCGGGCTCCCTCGGCTGTTACAAGGATGATCCGTCCGACCGAGTGCTGACGGCAATGTGGTCGAGTCCCGTCATGACTCCTTCGGTAAGTACGCTAATCACGCCTGTCCGAGACGCCCCTACCAGAGCTTTGAGCAGCGGGCGACTTGGATGTGGCGACCCCGTCAACAATACCCTCGCGGCTGAACAATCGAATAAAAGTCCGACGTGGATACGTACTTTTCGGTTCGCAAGAGACTGTGCTGCACTGATTGCGATAGTTTATGTAGGTACACTATGCTACCATGCCGAACGGCGCCCTAGAAAGATCCAAAAATTGGCTTTCGGACGAGAGTGTTTCGTAGGGGTTATCCGGCGGGTACTTCGGGGTAACAGGTAAACTTGGGTAAATCAACATATATACACGACTGGGTTGGCTCTCAAGCTTCGTGAAACGTCTTCACAACGCACACAGCCAGTACCACCATTGAACATTCGCACTGGCCGACATGGAGTATCTCCTTGGTGTTGTTCATTCGCCTGCTCGTGTTATCTTGGACGTTTTACTTCCTTAAAACCAGGTCTGCGCCGCCTACTGCCACAGGGAGTCTGCCAGCTATGCCTACTACGCAATACAGTACGGCGGCGAGGTGGGTGTAGCCCCATCAGGGCTTCTTCGCCAGAACCCTCTTGGCCAGCTGGCACCAATCCTGGTTTGGTTTGCCTTATTTTTTTTCCTTGGTCCAGTTGGCACGACCACGTATAAAAGGCCGTACTCGAGTCCCCATTTCCGATTACCTGTATCCGCACTTTGCGTGATCGTCCTCGAGCTTAGCGTCCCGGAACCGGTGCCCATGGTGCTTCGGCCCTTCGATGCAGTGTTGGTGCCAAGACACTGACATCGACCTCAGGCACGGAGAAGCCACATGCGACTACGCTTGCTCGGGGGATGCGTCGATTTCGTGCGGTGGGTTCTACGCCTTTACCTTGTACGATCTCGAAGGAGCCAATCTGCCCACTCCTCCTGCGGACGACAACTACGTGGGGTGCTTTGCGGACGACCTGCAAGACCGCGTGCTTGGTGCCGAGACTTCATCCAGTTCTATGACCTCAGAGGTGCCGGTATTCGTTTTCCAAAAGAAGTAACTGGCTATACATCCACGCGCACACGTCAAGGGAGTATTATTAATCCACCGCTGGTTGTTTTTGGAACTCTGGCACTCACAAAATACGTGATGCTTGTACTACCAGCACGTGTGGTGTGCTTCCCCGACTACTTATACCTCGTACTGTAGTTAGACTATGTTGAGCACGTGCATGCCATGCGTTGGACTCTCGTCTCAAACTCACCTAACCCTGTTCCCACTGTTTCCCCGACTCTACTGACTTCCTTTTTCAAGGCCTGTGCTGACTACTGCGCCAACGAGTCCCCCCGCAACATGTACTACGCCACGCAATACGGCGCACAGGTGTGTACGCAAACTGTGTAGCACATTTCTTACGTAGAATTAGCTCTAGGTCGTGACCCAACGCGATAGCGTGGGCATCTTTTACAGTTATTCTTTGCAACTCACCTCAGATCAAGTTTCACTTCGTATTTGTTTTTCATATTGGAATTGCTTGTCGCAGAGCCACCCGTTTCTGGCTGATGGGTTCGCCCCGTTTCTTATTTAGGTGTACGTGAATAGTAGCAAACGCCACAAGTGCTCACGATACTTATCCATCCCACGGTGGCCACGTACTTTCTCTCCGCTTTGCCTCCGCCCAACCATATGGCGAAGGGGGTAAACTCGACCCTTGCACTCCACGGGCCGTTTGGAGTGCTCCAAAATTGGTCCCAAGTTTTATTCACCCGACGTCCGACTCGACAACTTCAAACTTCTTTTTTTCTTCGTGATGCTCAAATAGAGTGATTTCTTTCTCCCGCATTCATTGATGTGTTTGCGCAGAACAAACTTTGGCTCGAAACGACCAGTTCGGGGTTATTTAAGTTCCTCCGAGGCCGTTTTGCCTGAATATTCCAAGTTTCTGAGATCGTCTCAAACACGTTTGACCGCGAAATCAACCTTCACGATATTGGGAATTCTGTAAACTCTTCCGGCGCTTCAAACGACCCATTATGTGTATGTTTGGCGGCTAAATCAAGGGAAAAGTTAGTGGTATATGTTTCTCCTGTCGGTACTGTACGGACCCAGTAGCGGCCCCTAATATTGCTGGCCTGCGACTCCGTAGCTAATTTTTGCTCTTGCCAAGCGTTAAACTGCTCACGGTCGATCTCTCGTTCCCTCTAAAAGTGTTGGTGCGCAGAAGAAGTCGACCTCAGGCACGGGGAGGGCAGGTGCGCCTACGCTTGCACCGGTGATGCCAAAACCACATGCGGTGGCTTCGAGGCGTTTGATCTCTTTGAGGTCAACCCGCTATCCCCGCCCACGGAAGACTACTATGTGGGATGCTTCGCGGACGACCTAGAAGACCGCGTGCTCGAGGACATGATCTCGGCCGTAGACATGACCCTAGAGGTAAACCGGTACTTGAAAGGCACCCGGACTGTGCAGTACTAGGTAGACGATGTTTCAACCTCAACCCCCCCTGTTCAATCAGAATACTCTGGGCTGATGAGGTGGCTGGCCAACAGTAAGCACTGCCTGCGTGTACGAAGGATTGACGAAACAATGCTGACCCTCACTTCTCTGCCCCGTGTCTTGTTCGGCGCTGCAGGCGTGCGAGAACCACTGCACGGAGAGGAACAAGCCTTTCTTCGCCCTTCAGTATTCAGTAGAGTGAGTCCAAGATTATGCAGGAAGGTTGCGTATTAAAACATGGCAAGATCGAGGTATCTTTAAAGCAACTGCTGTCAACATCCCGGGAGGGTCTGGGCAGTGTGCAGTGGGTTGCATTAACCACACTTGGTCCAACCCCTCCTCCACATGGTGCAATGACTCGAAAGATACGTGACCAAAGTAAAATGACGAAGGCAAGCAACCATTAAGTACGCGACCCTCTTCCGTGGGAAGACCATGTCACACCCTACCTGCTCCACACCAACCCAATTTGACGTGCGCTAGTAGAGACGAGGCCTAAGGAACCTCCACTGCATACCGTAGACACTAAACATGGAGTTGAGCTTCCTGTTAGGTGCTACAGTTCGAAAAAAACACTTCTTGTATTTGCCGCCGCGCACGTCCTTTCTCCGACAGATGCTGGTGCGGTGGTTGCGAGATATTGGATGATGGACCCGACAAGTACGACAGGCACGGCGCCGGCGTTTGCAACGACTTCCCATGCTCAGGCGACCCAACTCGCCAGTGCGGGGGACTCGTCGCGTTCTCGCTGTACGAGCGCGACACTTGCGGTAAGTTCGAAGTATTATAAAGCACACAAACCGTTGGGTGGTTCTTTACATCGATTTATCATGCGGCTGGCAGCGATCTGATGCGATAGATAGTATAGTAAGCATGCAGCACGGCCTGGACAGGATACACGAAAGCACCGAAATGTTGCAATTTCATGGAATCCTTGCCACCATCGGTGGAGAGTGGAGAAGTGTGCGTGTGATAGTCTGCCGCATCCTCTCCCTCCAACGACTTATCTCAAATTCTGCCACACGTGACCTTCCGCCGATGTTGCAGTCTAGGGTCTCTACTCCTGCGCCTACCATTTGGACCACCTCTACCCGGAGCGCGAGTCCCCCGCTTTGAGCCACGACGGTGATTCCACGGCCGGCATCTAGCTGTCCTTTGGAACTGACATTGCTGAATACCGAAATCAGAGGAGAGGGGTTTGACGCGGTACGAGGGTTCTGTTGCCGCGAAAAGTCGTGAGGACCAAAAGAAGCTACCAAGCAAAACGCGTTGCAGAACGATCTCCTATACAGAGGAAGCTGAAGGAGTTTTTTTCTTTTGAGCACGTACCGTGAACCGTGCTATATGACTCATGAATGTAGACAATGATATCAATGAAATGCAGAAAAAAAAAAGCGCTAGCACTAACACTTGCCCAGCGGTAGTAGATTGACCGACTGATACGTCGACAGTGGACATCAACGGTCGTAGATTAGCTGCACATGAAGCGATGGTGCATGAAGCGATGAATGCTCGTTATTTCGTCGCCGTCTGGAGGGATGGGTGGAAGCATGGAGACGGGCGTGCCATGAGCAATAGTAGGATACACCTGTTCGCATTTGAAAGTTAGGATTGCTTTCCGTAGTTACTTTGGTGTTGGAATTCGATTAGTAAAAGATCCAGGTCTGGACGACCTACCGTACTATTTCACCGTGGTAGGGATGAGGAGGTGTGGAAATCTACGGTGAAGGTTGGGTTGTTTGACCATTACATGGATTTAAGATCACCCAAGTAGTGCGATCTGAACGATTGGAACTTAGGAACGTTTCAACGGTTGCGAAGGATGTACTACGCATATGAGAAGGAATAGTTTTCTGGGGACGTGAGTGCAATAGCTAGCTGTAATTGCATTAATAGCTTTATTGTACTAATTTCATAGGAGTATTCTTGGCATTGTTTCAAGCGAGCACGCCCTCCGTCCCTACCGCTGGTTGCTGTTGCTCGCATTGTCAATGGAAAATAACGAGGAATGCATTCGGAGGTTAAAGCGCGCGGGGCAGCGCCTGCATGCCTTGTGGACCTCAATTGAACTGTTTTGTGATAGAGGCGTATGACTCATCGTGCCATCGGTTGCAATGGCCACAAAAGGGCAACGCGTTTGTGTCGCTTAGGTTCATGCGCCAACACGTGAAAAGGTTGTTCTCGCATGCTTGTTACAATTGTAGTGGAGCAACTAGTGTATGAGCGTTATTGTCTATTTTCGTTAGTTGGTGTGACTAAGATTCCAACCCCTGTTCTCACTCTCGACTTGTGAGCGCGGAACGCTGGCTAGGTATGAAGAGGACAAAACATGAAATACAACAACAACTGTGAGTGAGCCAGCAAGGAGCAGCGGACCTGCTCCCTTCCCTCTTTTGTTCCTCTGTTCCTCCATAACACAATGCATATTTACGTTGTACGGATGCGCCTGTGCACGGCGAAAAAAATGGCGAACATCTAAATTTGAAAAATTGCTTTCGCTGTTTGTGGGAGCTGTCTTGCGACCGCAATTTCGAAGCAGGATAATATATTCATTTCCCGATTTATAATTTCCGAGCTGACGCTGCACTGCGATGAACGACCTTCACAACCCCCCCCCCCCAACAGAGCCAGCGACGAGGTGAATTATCCCGACCATCCACGTTTATCCAGCAACGAACCCATGTCGTTTTGAGACCGCTATTTTAAAGTAGTCACTATGGCGAGTGACCACCAAAGAGCCCGTGGTTTCGTCACCTTTTCAAGGTCCTTCTCTGTTAGGTTCTCCCCATCCGACCCTCTGCATGCCGCTAGAGTCTTCTCTGCTTTTTCCGCCTGTATCTTTGTCGATGCTCGTACCGCCGCCACGTTGGCTCTGGGCCTCTGAAAGCCGGCCGTCAGGTGCTTCTGCGTGCGTGAGGTACGCCAAATATACGGTTCCAACGCAAAGCAAATATACGTGAGGGACACACAAGCGCGCCAAAGGTTCTCACCTTTAACCCGCTTGCTCTTCGCGTGATTTACGACCAGCCCGATTTCGCTCTCGAAGGCATCCTCGTTGTTGCACTATGGGGGCAAGACAAAATTCAGCCGAGTCCCCTTCACATGAACCTTGCTCGCTAGGTACCCGAGCCAATCCTGCAGGCAAAGACATGCCGCCGTTATTAACGAAACGAGGAGCTATTCATCACACAGAGAGAGACGTCTTGTTGTGTTGCTGCAATCGACGACAGCAATTGATTACAGAGGGAAACGTGTTTAGTGCGCAGGTATCAAGCAACGATGCATGTCCCCGGCAGCAGCGGTGTGATGAACATTTTGAAGAAGCAAAGCGAACTGAAACCTTCGAGGCTCATAGAGTCGCAAACACCGCCAAGGCCCTGGCTTCCAAAGAGAAGGCCAACGCCAAGGCGGCGGCAGATGTTTCCACCAAGAAAAAGGTCACGCATGCAACTGTAGATGCAGGGCGGCTGACGTTGTCAAGAAGGCGCTTGCGGCTGTTGTTCGAGCAAGAAAGCTAAAGAAGGAAGCCGATGCAGCCAAATCCAAGGTGACGAAGGCCAAATCCACCTCCACCACTTACTTCCAAGTCACCCGCGGTTGTGAAAACATCCAAGTCGAGGGACCCCAACCCAACAAGAAGTCAGAACAGGCTTCAGCGGTGAGGAGGAAGGCGAACACCTTGAAAACTAGTGCGAACAGAGCCACAAACAAGGTCAGAGTTACGGAGAATGCTCTTGACTTGGCCAAACCGACAAAGGCCCGAGTACAGTGCCGGCCCACTCGTCAGAAACACCTTCGTAAGAAATCGAGGGTAAGAACTTTGAAAATACAATATAAACGCGTAAGAAATTGAGCTCATTTGACTGAAAGTGATAAGAAACGCCCTAAATAAGATATAGCACAATGTCGACTTCTTAGATAAAGAAACAGAAACAGAGGATTCGAGGTTGTCGCAGGAAATAAGAAACGGCCCCCGCACGAATACAGCGGGCAAGTGGGCTATTATATCGCCCCAAGTGGGGTGGGTCTCCTTGAAACTGAGTCGACGGACCCCCCTCGATGCGCCGACGCGGCGCTTCACCACAACTTGCACGCTCCTAGAAGAGTAGTTGTCTACAGGCAACGAGGTGCGCATCGGCCGTCGTCTCTGACGTCGGAACATTGGACACAACCATCCCCACCACCACTGGAGGCAGAGGAGTCCACGTGGGGGGCACCGCGCAGAGAAAATGGTGGAGTGGATGGGGGTGCAGCATCCACCAGAGGGGGCCGATCCGGAGAGCAAGCAGGACGAAACCGAGAGGAAGCAGTAGAGGGACCGCTGGCGGGAAAACGTGTGGAGGAAATCGCACGGAATATGAGGGGTGAGGCTCACTGGGGCTTCTCCCATTAGTCCTCTTACCCACCCCAGGCCGGTTGCTCCGTCCGCAAATATGTGCTTGCCCTGCTACACGCCGTCTCTTCCTCCCCCCCCCTATATCGGTTTCACCCGTTCGATCCCATTCTCGTTACATGTTGTATCCCTCCGGCAGCCCCAGGCAGGAAAACATCAACACCCCGCGCCCACCGCTCGTCCTACAGTAGAACCCCTTCCCCTCCATGTAGTTCGCTCTCTTTCCTGGTGTATCTCACCCCTTGATTTCCCCTTTTCCTTCTCCTTCGAGTTCTGATGGTGACCTTGATAACCATTTTCGTCCCCGCCCAACTCTCAGCCCACCCGGTCAAACGGTCTAACCGCCAACGCTTGCGAAACAGGCGTACAACCCCCCCTTCACCGTCCCCATCCAAACAGCAACGGCAGAGGCCTCCCACGACCCGTCCGACCCCGCATCCGTGTATGTAGACCTTCTCGTCAACGGGGACCCCGCCCCGTTCGTGTTCCGCATCCCTCCCAAGAAGGCGCCCCACCGGCAGCCGCGATTATCCGACGGCGGCGTTTCTGAACTGCAAGGAGAGACGGGAGAACAACAACAAGGGAGGGAAGGGGAGGAGGAGGAGTGGGGTTTGGAAGATGAGTGGGAGGAGGAGGAGGAAAATATGAAGGAGGCGATCGTGGCGGTGGCGGCAGCGTGGTGCCGAGAGTTCGGGGCCAACCGACCCGAAGACATGGCTTTCGTGGAGGCCGAGGTCGAGAAGGCCGTTGAGTCGGCCGCGGCGGCGGCGGCGGCGGCGTCAGCAGCGGTAAGGCCAACGGTGGCGACGGTCGGCGTCAACGGAAGGCAGCATACCCCGACGGCAGCTTCGGGGGCTCGCGAAGAAAGACATTCGGCAACAGTATCCGGTGCCCGGGAGCTGCTGCAGAGGAAAGAGTCGGAGTTGTCGGACAAGGGCGGCGTGCGGCCGAAGCGAAGCGATCGCGAGGACAGCAGCAGCTGCAGGAGGACGAAGAGGGGAACGGCAGGGGAGCGCTTGACGCTATCATCCGTGCTTGCGCCCGACGTGAAGAAGGGCAAGAGCATCTTCTGGGTGAAGGAATTCGGTGTACACAGCATGTCATATGCTTACCTTCGTTGTCGCGCATTCTCGGTCTTGTAGTTGTGAAGCATTCTCGATTGTGTAGCCACACGATAAAGGTCGTCCGTGTCCCCGTCCCTTCTTGAGAGGTCGTATCCCCGAAACCAAGAGCAAACATGCCCCGCTAACCCCCGCACGCAACGGTGATGAACAAATCGCGTGCAGGTGGATCCCAGTCTTCCGGAGGCATACGTGACGGCAGGCTCCTCCGCGCTCGAAATTTCGGAGCGTTTTCGCCGGACACACAACCTAGGGCCGTCGCAGGTTCCCCTGGTGCGGACACGATGTGACCTGACGCTCCGAACATCTATTCATGAATCTGTTCAGACCTTGGTTGTTGTTTTTCTCGCCTCGTCTGTTCAACACCTTTGAAGTTTGCCGTGGTGTTGTCCTCCGACTCCTCTTAACTGCGTTCTATTTGTTGCGGTTCTCACCGAGTACATACATCGAAATGAGATACCGCGAAGAGAGAACCGACAACGTCAACAGCCACGGCAACACTACCACCACCACCACCACGCACGATCTCGAACAACGCTTTATTCTCCACCTGGCGGCATCTTATGAAAAGGTGGCATGGAAGCTGCTTGACGCGTACCCGGCGCAGATGGAGGCTGCCAGGAGGGACGGAACGATGCTACCGGCTAGGGTAACGCTGCGCCGCGCAGCCTGCAAACGAGAGGTGCAGGCAAGGAGACGCCACACCTGCGGCAAAACGTTTACATAGAAAATATAGTATTGAAAAGCGGCGAAAACCGTCGACAATACTGTACTGGTGTTTTTGGGGGAATTTCTTGGGAACTCTGAGTGGGAACTGAACGGCACTAGAATCTCGACGTTCTTTCACTTCAATCAAGCACCGTTCGTTGTCGTGGGATAGCGTCCTCTCTCGTGCAGACCGCGAGCTCGAGGAAAGCGTGGGTACGGTACGCGGTCAGTTGGTGGATACTAAAAAGCTCCACGCTGGCCGTCCCCGCTCCCGTCCTAGCGTCTCGATGTCAACCCCCAAGCACTCTTGGCTGTCTCCCTTCGTCAATTTCACCCGGAAATGTTCATGCTCTCTGCCTACTTCTCCCCTTGCTAGGCAGTGCAGTCCCTCCCTGTCACAACAGTTCTTGAACTCCATCCTCGTCATGTCCCTTGGAATCCCAAACAGCAGCAGCTCCAACCTGTCTCCCTTCCACAGTTTCTGCTTCCATCCTCCCTTCATCACCATCCTCATGATCTCTACAGCAACTGGACCGTGGCCACTTGTTTTTCGTGTTTTTTCAGGAACAGGGGGGCGACAAAAATAACAACATTCGCAACGTCCGCGTGGGTTACGTCTACATTTTCGTGCTCCTCTGTCGTCCCGGTGACATGTTCTTGGGGGCGGGGGGGTGTTCGTATTGACCAAGGCCTTCTCGAAATGTTATTCGGGAACACGAGCGGACTGTGTGGCACAGGTTGATTGAAATCAATTCCACGGAACTTCACGGATAGTCGATCGGGTGCCACCGAGGCCCAAAGTGCTCCTCGGCGCGGCCCACATTCAACCGACGTCCACTGAGTTCGATGAGAATGTACTTTTGTCGGATGCTCTGCAGGTCACTGAACACTCGACCACTACAGTTAACAGAACATCGTGTGGAGTAAGGGGTATTTATTTGAACGTTTCATAATCTGGTCGTGGAGTGGTATCACCTACGAACGGGAACTGAGACGAGCGACGCCACGCTCTCCTGGACTTCCAGCTAAGCATCTACTGTAGGACGGCGAATCATGACCGTTCGTCTGCACTCGATCACGTACATCGAAGGTGATTGAAATCACGCTGTAGTCAATCGCATTGAACAATGTGAATAGTCAAAGCTCATTTTTATATTTCTTCTTCCCGAGAGGAAGAATATTGGCGGCTGCTCCTGTGGAGGCGAGAGCCTTGATGTTGAGAAACAGACGCACGCTCAAACTTTCGCGAAAAACAAGAAAAATGGCTGAGCACCTTATCGGTGGATCCTCACCCTAAACTCTTTGTAACGAACACTGTACAACAACCTGTGCTCGACAGCAGTGGGGACGAAATAAGAAACTGACTTGACCCGATTTTCACGTTTTTATCTCCGGGGCAGTACTGCTGAAACAAGATTCCAAGAAATGTGCTCTGTAGAGTTTGTAAGTTCCGGCGGTGTTCGAGGAAGGAAGTGTCACAGAACTTACAGAAGTTCCGGTTCCGTTTTCCGAAAGCATCACGGAACTCGACAGAACATTCAGAAGCTCCGGATTCGAATTCGGAAGCGTCACGGAACTCACAGAAGGCGTGTCGGACATGGGTAGATTCCCAGTAGAATTCCCCCTCGATGTCCTTTTGTATGCACCCGACAGATCACAGCCTTGCAAGGTTCCTTTTACGCGTAGATTGCTACGGTTGTGGCTCATCGTAGCAAAAACAGAGTCCGAACCGCTGCTGGTCGTGCGATCTTCTTTCCGGAACACAAAAAAAAAAATGGTGCAGAAAAACGCGTGCGCGTCGTAAGCCAGGCGCGCATGCTTTTCTTTGCTTCGACGATTCGTGTCCGCAACTCTCGCGAAACATTCATCCTGCCCCCCTCCTGTAAGGCTCTTGCCAACAGACTCAGAGAACCTTCAGCACCAAAAACGGATTTTTCAGTAGGAACCGTTCTTCTCATGGTGCAGGGCCCACAGAAGCTTCAGGAGCAGGATCCCGACCTCGTCCGGAGGACCCGGCATGCAGAAGTGCGGGTCGTCTTCTACCGTTCGCTCCACCACCTTCCTCGTCAGCCTGTGGAGGCCCTGGACCATGTCGACCACGCGGACGAACTTTGCGCCGGACCCCGGAAAGTCGGTCTCCCTCTGCGGGGAGTTCCAGCGCTGAGGGTCCCCTTTCCCCTCGTACGTGCTGAGCCAGAAGAAGGGCACCTACGAGCGACGGGGCAAAGAAGGCCAGCGTTGGAGAGGAGGAAGGGAGGGGCGCAACCGCAAAAATCAATCTGGCTGGGAGGAGCGGTGCGTCGCAGAATACAATCAGGCCTAACTTAGCCAAAATCGAAACTTGCGAACTTGGTGATACGAACAAGTGCTCAATCAAGGTGCCAAGGACGAACGTTGTAGCATAGAATCGCTATTTGATTTACCTCGCCGAGGAATAAGAATAAGAGAGCCTAGGGCTAAGCAATAGGATCTCTGGGGGGGGGCTGCTGCGTACTGAAAAGCGGGAAAAAAGTGTCAACAAACCACAACAGAAGTGTCTCGACACAGACACCGCACGCATGTTGATGCTGTCCCACTCGACATCGCGCTTGCCGTACGGTGCTCCACTATCCCGGTGGCAAAGTAAAGACGGCACACGTCCAACTCGAGGTGTTCGAGAGGAGTCGGAGGGGAGTTGGGCGCACCAATTGCAAAACATTGAACCACATTGGCCACCAGTTTGCTCCACCGGGGCGTACGTAAGACGTACGGAGGTGGTGTTGGAGGAGCTCAGGTGGCGACCCCTGCCACCTGGGGTATTGAGAAATCACTCCCACATAAACAGTGAAATACACCGCGGGTTGTGGTTCCCGCGTACCAGAACAGGCTAGAGAATGATAACATAAAATTAATCAGACCATGTCGTACCTGGCTTGAAACGTGACAACTCACAGACTTGGAAGCGCGCAGTCCAAAACGCCAGCATTGCGCCCCGGTGCAGCATCTATAGCCTAGATCCTCTTACCAAGTTCCAAAATTGCCGCGAACTAAGGCTACAAGAACAAAAATTAACGATCCGAGAAGCCATCAACGACACTACCACCACAATATTTCGACATCCTGATATATCCAAATTACGCTTCACAGAAGCGGACACGAGTCAGTGCAGAGCACACCCACCCCGGCGGCCTGAAGCTCAAACGCAGCGTCCAGCACCGCGTCCGCCTCGACACTCGGCTTGTTCCCCGGGTTCGCGAAGACGGCGGTGTAGTAGGAGAAGTCCTCTTTGTCGTGCGGCGCCAGGGCGTCCGTAATGCGCTTGTCTTCGTCGCGGTTGGCGAAGTAGAAGTGCACGACGGCCCCGTTGGAGAAGAAAAACTCACCGTGGTCGTCGTCGCACCTGAGGGTTTCCACCACCGAGCGGTACAAACCCGACCAGACCACAAACCCCAAGTTGGACACAACCCATGGTAGCATCGTGGGTGGGCCAAAGTAGTCGTATCTTGAAAAAATACTAGTGAACAAGGGCTGTTGAAACCTAAATTCGTTCAAAATCGAACAATGTAAATAGAAGGACAAACGCACACATACAAACAGAAAATTTCTCACAAGAACAATGAGATGTCCCATCATAACAATGAAATAAAGTGTTTTCTCGGCTAAGCGCTTGTCATGGCTTCAGCCATACCCCCGCCAAAGGCGAAACACCCGCTAACGCTACTCAAGAGTTCTTGGAGAAAGGCGAAGCCTTGTAGCGTCTTCTCGTGGCCATCGCCATATTTACACCCAGTTGAAAGCGACTACCAAGCACAACCAAGCACCAACTTTTGCAAGAGTCCAACAATGTGCGATGACAAATGCATGCGAAGGACCCCAAAGCACCAACAACCTTTTGCAAGAGTACAATGAGGAACACCATTGCATGCAACGCACAGCAAACCCCAACCACCCACCCTTCGCACGAATCACGCAATGTGCGGTGACCACTGCATGCGAAGGACCACAAAGCATCAACAACCTTGGAAAAGAGTCCCAACGGCATGCGGCGAAGAACGGTTGAACGCGAAGGCCGAATCTACCACCACCAAACGTATTGCCAGAAACAGACAAATGCGGCGAAGAAGCCTTGCACCACTAAAACCGCCGGGACGACGGGTCGCCGCTGCTGCTACTTCGCTCCTTCTCTACTGCGGGCGTTGTCGGTACCACCGCCACGAGCGGAACCCGGCGTTTTTCTCGCGTTGTACAGTAATCGCATTGCCTACCACCAACAACGACGTATCTCTCCTGAGAAAACGCCTGACTGGCTGCGCAAAAAGCCACTGCGGAGAAAGGCGGGGCGACAACAACCCGTACCACCTCCTTCGCACGGACAGAACGTGTCTCTAACCCATCTTCCTCAAGGGCCCCACACCTAACAGTACCGTAAGCGCGACGTAGGGCTACCACACCCCCTGGACCAAGTTTCAAAACCCGATTTCTCTACAGCACACATGGTGACGGTGCCACAAGAATGGTGGTGTGGAAACCGTCTCGTCGAGAGCTTTCCGAAAAAGGCATCGTCTGACTTTCAAAAACCCTCTTTGTCGTGGATTTCGAGCTTTTAAATTCGGTACAGTGGCGCGGGCGGTGTCGTATGTTATCACCTACGGTGCTACCCACCCACCTGCACGCCTCGTCGCCATCATCGTCGCCACCACCACCCCCGATACAACCCGAGTTCAGCAGCGTGTCCTTGAACAAGGTCCCGACGGAGCAGGCGCGGCACGGAGTGTCGCCAGGCACCTCGAGGTAGGCCGTGTCGGTGGCGTTGGTGGCGGACACGAACCGCAACTTCTTCGACACGACGTCATTCTGGAAAAGGCACAGAATTGCCTCGAGCGTCTTCGGGAGCAGCGGCAGATATTTCGGAGATTTCGGAGATTAGGGAGACCAAGACCGCCAAAGAACGGAGAGTTAGCAGCAGCTTCTTCGACGTATGAGTCGTTGAGCGCGCCTTCGGGAGCACCAACAGCAGGAGCAGAGATTTCGGAGATTGCCGCAGGCGCGGGGAGTGGAAGATCAAGACCATCAAAGAGCAAAGGACTCAGGGGCACGTGGTAAATGGGATCCAACCGCAACTTCTTCTGAAACAGGCACAGTACAGCCCTCGAGCGCCGTCGGGAGAGCAGTCAGCGGCGGAGATTTCGGAGAATGAAGCAGGCGCGGGGAGGGGAAGATTAAGACCGCCGAACAACGAAGGGTTTGGGGGAACGTGCGGTAAATGGGGTCGAACCGCAACTTCTTCGGCGAGTAAGTCTTTCTGGAAAAATGTACAGGCAGTAAAGCCCCGACCGCTTGCGGAAGCAGCAGAAAAAATTACAGGCGCGGGCCCCCGAGGATCGAAGCCAGCGATGATCGCACACGGTTAGGGGTCCGTGTCATGGATGGGGTGGAGAAGAACAACGCCTCGGCAAAAGAACAAATGGCTGTCATAGATGGGGTCAAGGGCCGTGGGACTCGCGATGACGATATGCTTACTTATGTCGCGACGTCAATAAATAGTCCGCACACGACAGCAATCAAAGCAGGGCACACAAGCGCAAGCAGCGCGGAAAAGTAGGGGCGACCGCTCTGGTTGTGAAACGACGCTTGAGCGCCGACGAAGCGTACGTTATCGAGCGACGCTTCGCCTGCTTACGGCCAGCCCCGTGACAACGTACGGAAATTTCTCGCTTTCCATGGAAAAGGGGGGTCAACACACAGGGCTAAAGTCTTCCGTGCGATCAGCCCAGTTATTTAGGAAGTATACGCACAATCACAGAAGCAAGGCTGCATTACCCGTTCGATACAAAACAGTTAAGCAAGGCGGACAATATAGGTACGGCAGCGGGGGGTGTACTTATAGCCGTGCATGCCGCAGTCGTTAGACCGCTGACCTCGCAACCCTACAAAGCGGGAAGCACGCCGGATTCTCACCGGACCAGGCTCTCACATCACCAAGCGCTAAGCACCGTGAGGTATTCGGCGAGTCGCATGAAGGGTGCGCTGCATTCTGCTAAGGATGTTCGGCATCTTGTGCTTACTTCCTTGCGTACGGATGACAGCTGCGTGTGACTTAATTTATTTTCTGGTGCTTTCACTTCCAGAGACAGTTATAAGAATTGTATAACTGCCTCGAGGGCGGTTGACCAATTTAGCACACGTGGTGCGACTATCCCCCTTGGGCGGAGTGAGGGTTCTCGACCCCGCACAACATAATCTACTCGACCACCATTGTGGTCACCGCCAAAAAATAAAAAATACAACTACAAAAGCCGTAACCTGGTTGCCGAGCTCACGAAGTGATCGGCTTGTTTTACAACGTCGTTGCCAATCGACGAAAAACCCAACCCCGATGGTAAACACCGAGCAGCAGCGGGGGGGGGGGTGTACTCATAGTCGTGCATGCCGTAGTCGTTTGACCATTGACCTCGCATCCCTACAAAGCCGGGACGGAGCACGCCGGGTTCTCACCGGACCAGGCTCTCACATCACCAAGCGCGAAGCGCCGTGAGGTATTTGGCGAGTCGCATGAAGGGTGAGCTGCATCCTGCTAAGGGTGTTCGGCATCTTGTGCTTACTTCCTTGCGTACGGATGACAGCTACGTATGACTTAATTTATTTTCTGGTGCTTTCACTTCCAGAGACAGTTGTAAGCACTGTGTAACTGCCTCGAGGAAGCTTGACCATTTTAACACAACGTGGTGCGATCATCCCCCGTTGCGCGGAGTGAGGTTTCTCGACCCCGCACAACATGATCTACTCGACCACCATTATGGTTACCGCCAAAAAAAAAACGAGGTAAAAAAAAAAAACGGTAACCTGGTTGCCGAGTTCACGAAGTGAATTGGCTTGTTTTACAACGTCGTTGCCAAGCGACGAAAACCCAATCCCGATGGCAAACACCGAGTGGGGGGCTTGTCTTACAACGTCGTTGCCAAGCGACGAAAACCCAAACCCCGATGGCAAACACCGGGGGGGGCGGCTTGTTTTACAACGTCGTTGCCAAGCGACGAAAACCCAACCCCGATG